TATGCTTTAGATGGCGCTATCCCAGATGCTCCATTGTTATGGAGTCCTACCATGACTCCTTCGATCTCTGTTGTCCTATGTGACAACGAGGCAAGAGCATTTATGATGGCGTCTAGTTTGGATTCCAAACTTTCAGCCATTTTAACGTCTTAACCTTCGGCTAACCTTCAGAAAGAAGAAAAAAGAGTTTTGACAAGAGGACAATATTGGTTCAGAGGAGAGTACTCCGCAACCTCTAAAACGCCTTAAGACTTCAAGATGAGGGGTAATCCACTCTCTCCAAGAAGAATAAGGCTCCAATATTGAGAAAGAAGAGATATCAGTTTAGAGGAGGGTAATCCGCAACCTCTAAAAACACTAGCACACCTTCAAGAAGAGGGGTAATCCACTCTCTAACAAGAAGGAACTAGCTCTGATACTAGTGAAAATGCAGTCTCGACAAACTGTCACGGACACAAAATACAGACTTGAAATCTAACAAGAAGTTCAAGAAGAAGTGGCAGAACTAGATTAAACAGATGACTACAAGAACAACACCAGAAAGGTGAGCTAGAACTCCAAGAGATGTGTTGTCGAGACTAAAGAACCCTTCAGCCTCGACTCCTATATATACTACTGAATAGGAAGCTTCTCGAGCTACTTCCGCTAACTAGGACGCTTCTCCAACAACTTCTACTAATTAGGAAACTTCTCGAGCAACTTCCTAGAATCTATCAGAATATTCTAGAACCTTCTAAGAATATTCTAGAACCTTCTAAGAGAATCTTTAGGGAATATTCTAAGAATCTTCTAGAACCTTCTAAAGGAATCTTTAGAGAATCTTTAGAGAATATTCTAGAAGAATATTCGAAGAATCTTCCAATGTATGTCCATGACAATCGCCTTACAAAGATGGCGCACTTTGTCCCTTACAAGAAGACATCATCCAGTGAAGTCACAGTAAGGCTCTTTCTCGATAATGTGTATCGATATCATGGACTACCAGATGATATCGTATCAGATCGAGGAACCCAGTTCGTATCAAAGTTTTGGAGATCTCTCTTTGAGATACTGAAGGTGGATATCAAGCTTTCTTCGACTTTTCATCCTCAAACTAACGGCCAAACGAAACGGGTGAACCAAGTCTTAGTACAATACTTACGATGTAGCATCAACTATCAGCAAGACGATTGGACCACATATCTGTCGCTAGCCAAGTTTGCATATAACAACACCCTCCATGCGTCGACTCAATACACATCATTCTTTTCCAACTATGGATATCATCCAAAGCTTGATTTATTGAGTCCGTCAACAAATAACAATCCAGCAGCTGAAGGATTTGCGAAACAACTATCAGAGCTTCAAAATATGTTGAAGCTTCAATTACAATCTGCTCAAGAATCCTACAAGGTGTCTGCAGATAAATTTCAGAATCAAGCACCTACTTTCAAAATTGGAGATAAAGCATGGCTTCTTCGACGAAATATCAAGACCAAGCGACCATGTGATAAGTTGGACTATCGAAGATTGAGACCATTTATCATCCAGAAGCAAATCAATCCAGTGGCGTATTGTTTGGAATTACCGGCTTCTATCAAGGTACATCCAGTCTTTCATGTTTCTTTTTTGGAGTCTTATCGAGAGTCGTCTTTTCCTGGAAGAGTGCAATGTCCGCCACCTAGTATTGAGATCAAGAACCATGAAGAATACGAAGTTGAAAAGGTGTTGGATTCACGGCGAAGGTGGGGCAAGTTGGAGTATCTTGTTCATTGGTGCGGCTACGACATTAATGAGCGAATGTGGGAGCCAGCTGAAAATCTTGCCAATGCGCCGCAAAAGGTACAAGAGTTTCATCAACAACATCCTCATAAACGTAAGCCGGTTTGACAATAACTTCCTTCTGAAGCTTGCTCATCCAAGAATATAAGAAAGGGGGAGAGCACCACTAAAATTCGTAGTTGATGTAGTTATTTTGTCCAAGATAAAATATAATTTTTTCAATAGCCATAGTTTGGTCTTATGATATGGATAGCCAAGAGATAGATACTATGTCAGTCAGATTATCTCAACCGACTAGCTCACGAAGGCGACCCCGAGATGAAGAACCGCCTACACCACGACGACGACGGAGGATACCGAGTAACCGATTACTGGTGATTGTATTTGAGTCCGAGCCTGCTTACAATCGTCAGCCAGAAGGCATGTTTGTAGGACAATTTCACAATGAAGACATGGAAGTTCATGCTTGGTAGTGGGCATCTATCGTTGGCTTCAAGGGCCGAAGAACCACTTGCCTCGTGAACAACAGTTGGAGTTCATAGCAGACGTTATGCGACAGATCTTCATTTTCTTGCGTTGGTACTGATTAACAACAACATTGCTTCTCAGAGACCTCGAAGTTAAAGGAGGGGGTGATGTTAGGGACATAATCCTTAGAACCTTCTAGAAGCAAGTCTTTGGAACCTTCTAGAAGCTTCTTAGTTAGTAGAAGATGTTAGAGACATAGTCCTTAGAACCTTCTAGGGATAAGTTTCTAGAACCTTCTAGAGGCAAGTCTCTGGAACCTTCTAGAAGCTTCCTAGTTGGTAGAAGTTGCTTGAGAAGCTTCCTAAATAAGAATATATATTGGAATCGAGGCTGAAGAGTTCTTCAGTCTCGACAACACATCTCTTGGAGCTTTAGCTCACCTCTCTGGTGTTGTTCTTGTATTCATTTGATTAATCTAGTTCTTGCCAATTCTTCTTGAATTTCTTGTTAGATCTCGAGTCTGTATTTTTGTGTCCGTGACAAAATCTTTAAAGTTGGATTTGAGAGAAGCATATAAATATCCATGTTGGAAGAAATCTAGATATTTATAATGTGTGATGGTGCATTGTCCATGATGAGCACAATCCACTAACATGTCCTTCCAAACTCTTTATTGAGATTTTTGAGCTATTTTTGAAAAAAATCCTAATCATCCATGCTTTCTTCTTGTATTAATAATAAAAATCCAATTATTTGCTTATGCAATGGTTGAAGCGACGAAGCTTATGGACATGGCCAATAAAAAATAATGGCAATTTGTGGATTTCATCAACATTGGTTTTGGATGCAATGGTGATCCATGTAGTTTCTTTCTTGTAGCCAACGATTTGTTGTTGATTGATGGTTTGATTTGGCATTATATTATAAAATAGTCTCATTTCATTCATGTTGCACAAATCAAAACTCGCAATATAGACACATAAAACAAGTATCACTACATTAATACTAGCTTGATCAGTTGAGCTTGCCTTCCATACATTCTAATCACTTTCAACTTGTAGTAAGAGAGAAATTTCTCAAACTAGCCATTCAAAAACTCCATTTTACCCTAGGAGATTGCAAGCATCTTTACAAAGCATTGACTACACTCTTTAATGAGCTATGCTAACAACAATACATTTTGAGATTGTCATTGCAAAATCCAAAGAGCAAGTGGTTCCTGAAGGTTAGAAAAGTGAATCATCCTTAGGTACTTTGCTTGAAGCTAATCCTAATCTATGGCTTTGTATTTGTTCCATTTCTTTAGGGTTTTACTATTAAGAACTTATGGAGGTGCTTTCGCAACCTTAAACTTGGTTTTGGCCCACTTTGCGAGAACTGTCTACAAGATCAAAGGTTGTACATCCCTCTACATATATACATTATTTTTCAAGCAAATTTTTAGATAATATGATTAGTAAATCTTATTTATGCAAAAAATAGCAATCATATTAAATTATTAGATGTACAGAGATACATACACTTTAACAAATCAGTTCAACACAGTTATTAAATTAATGGTTTTTCATATGGAAATTAAACCAACATGGAATTGTTATTACTTCCTAAAGTATCTGCAATGAAAAACTTCCATTGAAATTAAAATTTTAAAAAATACAACATTCTACACAGATCGAAATGTCCATAAATAAACATTAAAAAAACCCATATTAAAAAATAGAATGTTCACAAGGATTAAAATTTTATATTATTCTAAATTGTATTAGATAGGTTTATTAGACTTTATAAACTACAAAATAATATTTTAATTACAGAGATATGTTAATTACACATATAATGAATAAGGCATACAAATGATTTTGTTGCAAGTTAGTTTTTGATACCATAAAATCATTATTAGACGTATTTATTGTATTTTAAGTTTTTTTTCTTAAAAAATTCAAAGTTTTTTATAAAATAAATTATAACACAATACTTATAAAGTTTCATTAAACTTAAAAATATTTTTTTTATATCTTTTTATATGTATAATATGAAAAACCTTATATTTTACTAAGTATTTTAAAATTTTAATATAATTTTTATGGATTCTTTTAATACACATGCTTGATATTTGGTGTTTTGATCTAACATATTTAACCACAATCAATCCATTTTTTAATTTTTAATTTTTAATTTTTGAAAGTTTCAACATAAAAAAGATTAATTTTATGTGAGCCTTTTATTAGATAGAGTAAAAAATTAGTTTTATTTTATTTTATTCCATTTTATTATATATATACATCTATCTATCCATATACACACAAGAAAGTAAATTATTTCGCAAACTTACTGATTGTTAAGTCTTAAACGTTTTTTTCTCAGTGTATTTAGAATTATTATATAATTATACATCATATGTTTTGAACCACATTTGATAGCTTATGTCCTTGAGAAACTATTAACTTCCAAGAATTGAATGTCAAATTTCAGAAGCATAAGCTCTGAGCAGACAAATACTGTATGGTTAACAAGAATTTAAGACATGGCACAGGATTCACCAGAGTGATTTTCTGGATTTACCAGGTGGGGCAGGCAAATACCGTGATCCACAGAAAGCAAGGATGGAATTTACTTTGGGGGGGGGGGGGGGAGGTGAGGGTGAAAGGGAGCGCCGAAATCAGTAAGCTCAATGATTTGGTGCGTTGGAGGGTCGTGAGGCGTGACACGACGTGGATGTCCTTGACTCCCGTGTGAACGGGGATACCCTTCGGAGAAAGCCCTATTGCTCTCTCATCTCCTTTCTCTTTTCTTTGCAGTCTCGTCTCCAAGCGTTTCCTGTGTGTGTGGGGACACAGCTTGCGAGGCGTTCGATCTCAGGGTTTTGGTTATCGATTCAGTCGCCGGTGTGACTTTTCTCTGTTCTTCCTTCGGTTGCGTGTTTAATACTCGCTGTGCTCTTGGTCCTCCTCAGTCTGTGTAAAGTTTCGTTAAGTTTTCCCTCTTCCTGACCTGATTGGACCCGATTGGATCCTTGAGGCTTGCGACTCTGTTGACAAGCAGAGAGAGGGATTTCGATTTGGATCATGACCTGTGAGTCTGGAACTTTGAGTTGTACACTGGAGCAATTTGTTTGACTCTTGCTGCATTTGTGCCATTAGGCCGGCGCTGAGGCCGGGTGGTTTGGCCTAGTTGTTGTAGGAACCGGGAGTTGTGTGACTTAGGGCAAGGGATTGGTCGAGCAGTGATTGATTGGCTGTAGGCTCATTGCAATATATTTCGCGTCGGTATGGCGTCCGAGGACGTGCTAGATCGCGATTTGCTGTTTCGGAAAATGAAGACCAAGTCCGAAAACAAGGTGAGATGCTGGGTATTAGATATCTCTTTATATTTCTTATGGGGTTGACCTACTTTTGGTTTGTAGTCGCGATTCTGTCTCTCCAGCTATATTCTATTTTCTGTTCTCATTCTCCGACAGTCTTCCACTAGCCCTTTCTTGCGCATTGCGCACTTAATGTGATGCGTGTTGTAGAGGAACTCGGATATCCTGCATTTTCTTCACTGGTACTGGGAACTTGCTGTGGTCGATGTTGTGGTAAAATGCATTGCTTCGAAGTTTCTTCAATATGATACAAGGCGACGCTGGACTTGATGCAATCCTTTTTTCTGTTTAAATCTTGAAGGTGAACCTTAAGGCATGGCCCCTAAATATTGTGACAATTAATCACACTGAAATGCTTGTTACTTATGTCACTTCTTCTGAATTTTACCCTATCACTACTTGACAGAATTGTGCTTCGCGTCATGTAGTATAGTTAAGGATGTCCGTTGCACAGCATGTGATCATTTACACGAGAATTTTTCCTTGATTAGATCAGTAGGCCATTTTTTCTTCTAGGTTGCTTGACTAATTTAAGTTTTTTCCTCTTGCTTGGATTGATAGGCTGTAGTGGTAAACAAAGTAGCCTGTGAAGATTCTTTCATATTAAAGTGAAAACTCATGTGTATTTTACTGATCAATATAAACTAAGTCCTTAAGCAAGTCCTGAATCAGAACTATGAATAGTAATATCCTTCCTTACCAAACGGTTTCAGTATAATATGTGCCATGTGTATTGTGGAGTAATGTATTAGCATTCGCAAGTTATTGTAACCAAAACGGATAGAAGAGTACTGCTTTGCTTGCGCACAAAATGCTAGCATGAGTTTGATTGTGGAGTGTGTTCGGTTTTTTACTAAATTCTTCACGAGTCGTCGATTGGATGCAGATGTGTTTCGACTGCAATTCGAAGAATCCCACTTGGGCGTCAGTGACGTATGGAGTGTTCATATGCCTGGACTGTTCAGCTCTACATCGTAGTCTCGGTGTCCACATTAGTTTTGTCAGGTGATTTTCGGGTGCAATCGACATCTTGGAGTGGGTGCTTTTTTGTAAGAGGAACTTGACCACGTATTTTGTAATGTATGTTGTACAGTCTAATTTTAAAGACGCGTATTCTTACTGTTACGAGTGCTTTCTTTTGGACCTTTAACAAAAGCTTAGTTGTAAGTAACATCCTTGGCTACAATTGCGGAATGGACTTGCCAATTTATGTACACGTACACGAATCGGAATAGCTCTAGGTCACTCAATCTTCTACCTGTGACTGTTCAAGATTTGATATTTGTCTCTTTACGCTGTAGTTACTTGCTGTACGCTTATACGTTTGAACTTACATATTTGTCTGGATGTTTGCGGGAATAATTCAGGTCCACCACTTTGGATACTTGGAACCAGGATCAATTGAAGTTAATGAGCTTGGGTGGCAATGGCCGAGCACATGTGTTCTTTAAACAGCACGGTTGGACTGAAGGAGGACGAATCGAAGCGAAGTATACCTCAAGAGCAGCAGACCTCTATCGCCAGCTCCTAGCCAAGGAAGTGGCTAAGAGTGTGGCTGCTGCTGCTGCTAACAGTGCCTCTCAGAAGTCGAAGGGGGCTCCATCGCCCAAAGTCGATGACTTTTTTTCTGTAGAACATCCGAAAGAGCGTGCTGACCCCACTCCTGCACCCATGCCTGCTCCTGCTCCTGCTGCTGCCCCACCTCCCACTCACACCCCAGCTATCAGTGCTCGACCAATTACCAGTGGATCAAGAAAGCCAAGTTTATCTCTCGGAGCCAAGAAAGTTGGTGCAACCAAATCTGGAGGTCTTGGTGTAAAAAAACTCACCACAAAGGTAAATGAATGGTTTGAAGCTCAAAGAACGGACATCTTCTATTTGCCCTTGTTCCAGATGATTCCAAAACGAGTCCATTTGCATAAAAGATTGTAATAGTGTTGCTGTCTTTGCAGACCAGCGAAGACCTTTACGATCAAAAGCCAGCTGAGGTACAGCCCGAACCAGCAGCTCCAGCACTTTCATCTGGGGCAACCACGCAATCGGCTCCGCGGTCATCGCGCTTCCTGTACATGGATGATGTCCCAGCAAGCAATGACTCTGATCATAAAAACTCCAGCTCTAGCCATGTAGCTCCCCCCTCAACAAATTCAGATTTCTTTTCCGAGTTCGGAGGATCTCCTGTCAAGTCCTCATTCAACAGTGGACGTGCCAAGACACAGGTACACTACTCTTCCTAATGCTGTAAGGGCAGTGATAGGGTAGCTGTGCTGAATCTTTCAGTCAAGACATACTTCGTCTTTGTGGCATCACCACCTCGTATCTTTGTAAATCGTTTTCACTTGCTTGCTCGATTTCTGCTTTTTGTCCTTAGGATATACATCTCCTATTTTTCTCTAAAATTTTGGTTTCTGATTGCAGGTTGACGACAGCCATGAGGCACAAAAGAAATTTGCCAATGCCAAATCCATCTCTTCTGCACAGTTTTTTGGTGATCAATATAAAAACAATGATCAGGGAAATTCTGGGCGTCTAGAGAAATTCGCTGTAAGTTCGCAACGTTGGTGTGCTTGCTGTCTGTAATGGCTGTTATTAGTGCACTATTGAGGCAATGATCTCTGATCAATATGTGCATCTCGTTATAGTGGATGAGGCGAACATGATGTGAACTTGGTGATTATTACTGTATGCAGAACTCGTCCTCTATATCGAGTGCTGCCTATTTTGACCGTGAAGAAGTTGGCTCTCCCGGCAGTTCTTCTATTGACGTTACGGCGAGTGAGCTCATGTCTAAACTCACATACCAGGTAATAGAGAACTTGGTTTTTCTTGTCTGCTCTCTGTCTGAAAAAGTTGCGCATGCTCTCAGAAACATGTTAATCAGATGTATCAATAATGTGTCAGTTTAGGATAGTCGTTGAGATAGGATGTGTTTACCATTTGTACCTATCGACAATGAGCTCAGACGAAAAGCCATGATATCAAATGACCATTGTTTTGACATGTGTGAATTTACGGAACCTAGTGCTTTTAGCATTTCTACTTATTCGACCTCAATTTTAGGCATCTGCCAGTTACACATGGCATGCATTCGAATATGTTGATTTTGAGATTAGCGGATTTGAGGTTCTTAATCCCTCGTAATTTAGCAGCAGAATGCTAATGTAGTCCATGGTTGTTCAGGCCTCGCAGGATATTTCAGCCTTAAAAAACATGGCAGGAGAAACTGCCACGAAGTTCTCGTCTATCGCTTCAAGTTTTATTGCAGATCTACAGGATCGCATCAGGTGTGTGTATGTGCTTTACTCGTTTTAATTTCGCGACTTGTTTCTTTGCTTTTTCACCGATAATATCATTCCAGTCTTTACTTGGAAGTTAGTGAATGTACTTTATCTCAAGTGACTCACAGGATTTGGAACTTCTTAGCAACTGTTTACGAACATGTTATAATTGATTTATCTGATTTCTTTTTGCAGGTAGATAGCATTTAATTCTTGCTTCGAGGGTTGCATGCTTTGCTCTAAAAATCTAAGAAACTGCTGTCTAGTTTCTAGTTGCTCACCAGAAAACTTCGATCAGCTTCTGATATAATAGATGTTAGGCTGGAAGATAGAACTGCATATACCTTTGGGCTGCTGCTCTTTCAGCATGGTGTGCTTCACTTACAATTATAATTACCTATCTGCTTCATGGTGGATTATCTGTGCAACAGTGGGTTTATCAGGACCATTCAGTTATTTCTTATATCTTGACACTGGTATCAGCCTTGAACTATTTGGTTTCCCTTCTGACTAGTCTTTGCCGTTTTTTCAAATTGCTCTGAAGTTGTGGCTCACTGCATTCTCTCGCCCCATACAGCATTGCTAAGCTGTAAGAGATTGAATAGGTTCTCTAGGGTGGTTGTCCAGAATCAATCGGACAGTGGATGCTTCTTGTCTAATAATGTGTATCGTAAAAATGTAATACATTTTTTAGCAGTTGAGGGGGGTTTTTTCTATTTCAAACCCGCCAGTTGATGTTCAGCTGAATGGGACTTTGTTTTGCACCGCACACGACATTTTGTAAGCAGCTAAACCGTCTGACCTTTAAATTGCACCTGACTTTTTTATATCGCTTTGCAAATAAACTTTACGAGATTATGACATGCTATTTGCCGAATTTGCAGCCGCTTCTGATATCGTTTACTGCAAAAATTCAAGTGCTGTGGTCGTAGATTGTGAAGATATCCAGGCTAAGCACATCGGTTTCAAACAAACAATTGTCCTGCACTATTAACCACGAGAATGTTTTCACTTGCAAACTCAGTATCCATTCGTGGCATTCACTTTACCGTTAATCCATCAATATCTCCGACAGCTTACGCAGTGTTCATGACAAACTTCACTATCAACTGCACGGTGAAACTTCTCTTCGTTAACTCCCTTGCAGTGATAGGTAGGTTTATGACCTGTAAAGTGTGGATAGACAATCACACACTTTATGCACAATTTAGCAGGTTTTATAGTAAAACTGCTTTAACAAAATGAATCGTAGAAGATATACTTTACATTTTTCCAAGGGTGATTTTAAGAAGGTAAGAGTATGCATTCCCTCTTAAATCATAAATTCCATGAACTAACACTGTGCTGGTGTGATTTTTCCCCAACAGTGTTTTGGGAAAAGAAGGAGCAACAGTTTTTAAAGTTTTGTCAAGAAATGAATTCGCCATGTCGCTTGATTTCAACAGGTCACGTACATACGGGTAGATCTACATGTAGAACCAGAATCATTCCCTCGATACATCTACGGCTGCATTGAATCGTCAGATGTCTCTTTCAATTCGAACTTTCTGAAATGTACGGGAGGAAAAATCTACTGTCGAGGTTTAGGAAGCTCTGCACCCAAACACCAACTGCGTCGCAATTCATGATCGGGAAGTGCTTCATTCAGCACATCTCTTTTGTTTCCACGCTTACACGCATGCAGGTCGATGTTGTTGGAAACGGAGATGTCGTGTTTAATGGTCTCTTTCGACGCTAACTTCATAGTGGTGAGGTTTTAAAGTTTTTTGAGCTGCGGAATCGGGGGAACGCAGAGAGGGAAGGAGATCTGTGTGGTCTGGGAGCGTTGTCTGAGCTGTGCGTTGAGTTGGAAGGTTGTGTGGTGTGAATTGGGGGTGAAGGAAATGTGAGGTGGGCTTCCTGACGAAGGGATTGAGGAAGTAAGATGAGGGCGCGGGGGGTCGGGAAGCATGGGGTGGGAATTATAGAGGAGGAGCGGGACAAGGAGCGTCACGTGTTGGGCCTGCGTGTGAAGAAGGGGCTGGGTGTCAGAACATGGCTGCTGATCGATGTGAAGGGCTCGGCGCAGGTTGACCCCCCGTTGGATGTGCTTAAGAATAACTGCGTGTGACCTTGTGGATTGCAATGGGTTTTTTATTTGGATAGCTGAGCGTCGCGAGATTGGTAGTGGATGGGACATGGAATTAGGGCAGGTGAAGGATTGGAGTTCGAGAAATACGAGAGTAATTTTCATTAATTGTGTGGCGATTGATGAATGTATAGGTGGTGGAGGCAGGAAAGCATGCTATCATGCGGCGTGCTTGTCTTCCTGCCCGAGATCTGCGAATTTTGGACCCCCAGTTGTCTTACCCGTCAACAATTTTGGGACGAGAGCATGCTATAGTGGTGAACTTGGAGCACATTAAGGCGATCATTACAGCACAGGAAGTTCTCTTGCTCAATTTTAAGGATGATTCGGTGGCACCATTTGTACGAGACCTTCGAAAGCGCCTTCCTGTGCATTTCAATGCACTTGGTCAAGAGGTTAGTGCTTCGGTATTCATTAATGTTCCTGGATTATAATCAGTTTAAAACAAGAATATTTGTGATTTGCTTAGGATATGGTTTTCTGTGAAATTGTTCTTTTTTATGTATACCATATTGAAATGCAACAAGATATCTGCGTATTATCACATCTGAGTCCTTAGACCAGCGTCTACAAATTAGTGCTCTAGGTAAGCAGTGTAAAGAACCTGGGTTCAAAGCATTAAAGAATATTTTAAAGTACTATTTCGTTTGTTGAAGTTACTAGCAACATCATTAGAACCTCTGGCAGTCTGTGTATGCAGACTTTATTCGCTCATGTTCTATCTAGACATTTCTTTTCTGATTGAAGAGCATGTGGTTGCTGACCATCCTTCATGTCATTTGTGACGTTCTTGGCCATGAAGTGATTATGACTTGTCGATTAGTGCCACTTATAGTTGAGTCTAATTTGATATCGTGTAGAAGAAGTTAACGATGTGAAGGTAACCATGATCTTCTTTCCCTCTGGTCTGTGCGTCGCTTGTCTCATAGGAGGCTTGTAACTATATCGTGTTGGATTATTTTAGCTAGATGGATTTGAGGTACAACCTTTTAACCTAGGACAGAGAGCAACTCAATTTGTTTGAACAGCCGTTTACTTCTAGAGAGAGGTTTTGAGTTCCTCTCACATGCATGTCATGGTACCTTCTCCAGGTTCATAACGATGATGGCGGCGGGGGATTAAGCGATTATGAAGGAGATGGGCACCAAAAATTCCACTCACACTCACCGGATAAGCCATTGGCTACAAGATTATGCACTACTAAAGCAGACAAAGAGGCTTTGATGGAGGTTCCCAAGCTTGAAGCACAGACTGGCGAAGCTAATAAATTCTCTAGTTTCCCACAGTATGACGACGATGGGAGTCCTGGACGAGCAAGAGGTGGTCCCAACATATTGCCTTTTGAATTTCGGGCATTGGAGGCCTGTTTGGAAGCTGCTTGTAGCTCTCTTGATAATGAGGTACCGGATACTCCCTGAGAGAGAGAGAGAGAGAGAGAGAGAGAGAGAGAGGGAGAAAGAACGAGAGAGCGAGGGACAGAGGGAGGGAGGGAGAATAGTTATTTATTTCTTTTTCCTGTTATTACTATTTTCCCGCATCTTCAACAAGCTTATAGTTCTTATAAGAGGCTGCTGGTTTGTTACAGTTTGTATACTTTAGCAACCATATGAATCTTAGTAGAAGTTTGCTTTAAGAATTTCTTGTTTTAGAAAGTGTAAACATACGTACTTGTTGATAATGAAAATGGTCATAATTGCAAAAGCATATTTAACAATGTGAGCAGGCATTGGACTTGGAAAAAGAGGCTTATCCAGCGTTGGACGAGCTTACATCTAAAATTAGTACTTTGAACTTGGAGCGAGTGCGCCAAATTAAAAGTCGCTTGGTTGCCATCTCAGGTCGAGTTCAGAAGGTACTATCTGTTCCTTGCGTTAGGATTTAGGTTTACGATGTAATGTACTACATTGTCTTGTTAAAGGTCATCGATTTTTCATTTCCATTGTGTTCATGATTCTATTATAAATCTTGATTATATGATTGTTTGGAATCGTGCATACCTGACTGACAGTGTTGTGTTCCTTTCCTGAAGGTGAGGGACGAAATTGAGCAATTATTAGACGACGACGGAGATATGGCAGAGATGTACTTGACTGACAAGTTGCTAGCACAGCAGGAGGGTTCAGTCTCTCCTTCCTCCCCTGGTCCCGGGTTTGGATCTGTTTCGCCTGGTGCTGACAGTCATACTACACATCTGCCTTTCAATCCTGATGATCCAACACTTCAGTCTGATGGACAAGTTTCGGATGACGAAGATGGGTATGTTCACTTTGTTTACGTGGTTCTCATTGTGTACCTGCTGATGCTGGTGTTGAATTCTTGCTAAATTTCAATGGCAGCGAATTCAGTATTTTATTCGTATTTTCATTTTATTTTTAATAATTTCATGACTTAATTTGCCTGTTAGGGTAAATGGAGGGCCAGAGAGTCTAGCTAATGGAAGAATTCATGGCAGTAGAAGTAGTAGCTCTACTAGTACTGTTTCTGCTAAACCTTTGGACGTGGAGGAGCTGGAAATGCTTTTGGAAGCATATTTTGTACAGGTTGATGGTACACTAAACAAGTTGTCGACGGTTAGTTTCTTTGCACGTTTTTCCTGTTCTTGGTGTTCGATGTTTTGTATTCTGCACTCGGCACTGTGAGAAGTTGTTGAAGAACATAAAATGTCAGGTGCTCAAGGACTTCAACAAGCAGCTCTGCTGGTGATGTGGTTAATTGATACATCTCTAGAACTTTTATATGATTCTAGCAACTCTTCTCTAAGTTGTTTTGAGTCTTTGAAATCCTGAAATTTAATTTTAGTTTATTGCTTTTTATTCTCTGGCTATTAGGGTTGTGAAATGGTTGAGGCTTGTTAATTGCTTCTAGGTTTTTGTGGGACGTTTCGCTCCTCTAATGCGTCCATTTAATCCAACTGTTGACACTAACCATGAATGTGCCAGTTTAACCCTGTCTATGTTTCCCGTTTCTCATGCAGCTGAGAGAATATGTGGACGATACAGAAGATTATATCAATATCATGCTTGATGACAAGCAAAATCACCTTCTGCAGATGGGAGTCATGCTTACAACAGCCACTCTTGTTATCAGTGCCTTCATTGTAGTGACTGGGGTGTTTGGAATGAATATTAACATTCCTCTTTTTAATATTGGCGGAACCCCTCAGTTTCTGGCAATTGTTTTCGGGTCAGCAGCCATATGCGTAGTCTTGTATTTTGCAGTTATAGGATGGTGTAAGTACAAGCACCTGATCGAATAGTAGATTCTGCTTACCCTCTATTACTTATTCTTATTCTAGTTAGTTGCCCAATACAGATTTAAGCCATCAGAATATGGCTCGGTAATGCAGGAGATTGTCGCTTGATTCTGCATGTGTGTACACACATACTTTTAGTAAAAAAAATTCCCTCACAAACATGAGTTGCTTTCTCAGAGACTGAATGATATCTGATCTCTTTTAGGCACGATGTCCGTTCGATTTCTTTTTCTTTTTGTTCTTGTTTTTGTTTTTTTCGAATTTCCAGATGTCCTGCTTGTCCTTCCCATTTTTTTCTTCCTTTCTTTCTTTATTGCAATGGTAGACTAGGATGGATAACGGCAGCAATAGGTTACGATGTTTCTATCGCTGAACATCCCAACGGCCCTTAAGCATCTTGTTCCTTTTATAACAACTTAGAATATCAGACGTAATCACAGTTGGGTAGGCACACTTTCGAGATTTTATGAAGCAGAGCGAGTAGCAGGGTTTGAGTGGCTGTGATGCACGATGGAAGCGTTACATAGTTTAGGAAACAGCATGTTGGGTGAAAGAGCCTTATCCTTGCTACATGTGAGTACTCGGTTAGGCAAGTGCACCCGGTGCTTTGCTCTCCATAACCCATGCCCATGAGATTTCACTCTAAAGCCGAGAAGTTTATTCTGGGAGAACTGATGCAGTAGGACAATGGTGTTACACCATTGTGCAGTACCGAGCTTCTGCACAGGAACAGGGGATAGTGACATTGAAAAGTACTCAGGATCGGTACGACATTGTCAAGGACATCTCGTCTCAGAAGGCGGGCGAGACTGCTAATGTTTGGTAGAACACGCTTGCGGTGGGTTTCAGACCATCTGTATTATGCAATTTTGATGATTTCTTTATAGCTTTTGGCGTTTGTGAGCGGCATCATGCCATTTGTATTTGCCTCTGCTTCACGTGGTCATTTCCTGGGGCTGTTTCAAGCTGTGTGATTGCAACTGGATGGTTACGGTTTTGGAATGATGCAAAGTGCTTGTGCGATTTAGGTTTTGAAGGACCAAATGGGATGACCAGTGCTGATTCTCATCAACTTCGCACTTGCTAAACGCATCCAGTGTTGTTAAAATATTATGTAATTTGTGATATTGTTTGCAATCCACAGGACACTCTCTCTTAGTACTCCGAGACAGCCATGAAGAAGCTGAACCAGGTAAACATCGTCACATCGAGCAGAGGATCCCTTTAGCTGCTGGGCTGCCCAACTAAAGGCTGTTGAGTGCTAATCCTCATGGGATTTTACTAAGGAGAAGGCCGGGGGAGAGGTTTAAGATGGTCAAGAGAACCCTGCTTAGGGCAAGAAAACTGCCAACGGTAATCTAATACCCACGGTGTTCGAAGAATTTTGAAGTAACGTCGCAGAATTAGACCAATTTATTCAAACTATCAGGATCAAGTTATCCTTGGGTCCACAATTTACAATATTTTATGGAATGTTGTAGATTTATAGCATGCAAATCATATACAGATCGTTGAAAGGTGGTGAAATTAGACGTTCTCTGATTATCATAACTATGATAGTAGATTTTATTTTATTATTTATTATTGATTTTTTTAGGGGGAGCAATTTGGTGATTGTTTGTACTTTGTGGTGTTTGATACAAGCTTCTCTCTGAATGTTGTATGTTCTACCCAATTATACATGTTCATTTTCATTTACATATCCTTCAAAATATGTTTTTGCTATAATTTAATCATGTGTGTGTATGCATTTATATAAATATAATACAATATTTTTGTTAGGTGCTTAGTGCACAACTGACTTAAATCAATGTAGTTTTTATTAGAAATTGTAATATTAGGTTTGGCTAGTTTTTTCACAAATATGGAAAAGTTTAGAGGATAGTATTTTATTTTTTTTTCAAAAAATTAGATATAAGAAATAATTCTTTCAACTTCTCTGGTTTTGAATTTACAATCCCCTAAGAAATTTAATTTATATCACACAATGCTTGTAGTCTTTTATTCTATGCATGTTATACATACACAAAATTGGTGTCTAGTCAATACCATTATTATTGTTTTTTACTTTTATTATTTCTTATTTAAAAATTCTAAAATAGTATTTTTATTTTTAATTTCTTTTTCTAACACCAATTTTTGTATTTTGGATTTGATTGTGGGCTATTATTCATGCTTAAGATTTTAAAATGATGTTACTTTATTTTATATCATAGTTATATTTAGGAGCACTTTACACTTTAGAGATAAGGGGAGGGGCCTTAGCTTTTAAAATATTTTGGTTTGGTTTTTTGAAGTATAGAGCCAACTTAAAGAGGCTTCTCATTTTTAACCAAATATATTTTGGTTGGTTGAAAATGAGAAGCCTCTTTAAGTTGGCTCTATACTTCAAAAAATAAGTCTAAAGGCTCTAAGAAGAGAAAATGAGGCAGAATTCACTTTTTTTCATACAAAACATAAATACTGTTGTTCTTTAGAAATTCCATTGGGTCATCTCAAAGAGGTGGTTTTTAGAAAAAATCAAGAAGCAATGTCATAAAAATACTTTAAATTAACTTTTAAAAAATCAAACTTTTTACACTTTTCATAATTGTTTAAGTCAATTATGTGCTAAATATTCAGACTTGCAATAAAAAAAAAAAATGATTTGGTCCATATATTACAACAAGTTTTTAAAAATATATTTTCATTTCTAAAATTTTCTATAGGTTTTTAGAAAATTTCTATAATTTAAAATAAATTTCAAAATAAACTTTAAACTTTATTTTTATAATAACTAATTAATTATGTATTTTTATTTTTATTTTTAAATTTTAATATCATAAATGAGTATAGAATTAAAAAAAACATGCACTTATTGAGTATTAGTTTTAATGTATTAGCACATAATATGTTTAAATTATGTTAGTGATTTCATTTTTGTAAATTCAAAATTTTTATTTTAAAATTTATTACATTTGCTATTCCAAGATAATATAAGAGAACAATATTCCAAATTTTCTTTCCACTACTTTCAAATGAGAGTGATTAAAAACTTAATATAATATATCTATTAAAATTTAAAATTTTATTATGATTTTACATTATATAGTGATTTTTTTTTTAGATTTATCAATTGAAGAAGTATACATACAAGATGAAATTTTTACAGTGATTATTATAAGCTCCAAAATTTCTTATTCAAAAATATCACATCCCACATACACCATTTTAATATGATTACATAAAGATTATTCCAAGAATTAAAAAATAAAATAAAATAAATCACAACAATATCAAGAATCAATGAACAATGCAATGAGTAGTTAGGAATCCTAATAAACACATAGCATTGAAGTGTGTTACAATTTACACATGTTACAAAGGTTGTAGTTGTATTATGTGCACAAATTGACCAAATATTAATAATAAAAAAATTATATATATTAAAATAAAACTTGATGTTTGTTTATTTGTCTACAAAATTACTAATTGACCAAGGTATAAAATCAGTTATAAAACCAATTGAAGGGGCACATCTACACTTAGGGAAGACGGGCCTAGGCGACCACTCCGCCACACAGTTGTTGTATTCCCAACCATGTTCTCCATTCTCAACCAAAAAATAATATTGTGTAACTTTTTAAAATTAGAATGCTTTTTGATAACTTTTTTATAATGCTTTTTCATTACAAAAACATCTCTACTAGGAAGTTTAGACTTGTCCTTTTAGGGTGATATTTCACCCATGATGAGGTCTCAAAGTAACAAGTGATATTTTGAAATATCTCTTGATACTTCAATTCACCTACCTCACGGTGTGGGTGATTTTGAAATCCAAATATCAAAAGAGGGGTGGGTTATATATCAAAAACCGCTTGGCTTGCATGAACTCTCTTCCCTCTTTCACTCTATACTAGGGGATAATAAAGTTTGAATGAGGGGATAATATCAAGGGGTAATAAAGTTTGAATGGTGATATTTTGGATTTGATAATTTAAATGATCCCTAAATTTGAACCCCAATTGTTGGGTTTTGCAAAAGTGCCAAGTCTGAACCCCCCTAAAATATTCAAATATAAGTAATTTATGGTTATTGCATCAATTATACAATCATTTAACTTTTTAAATGAGTTTTCTGTAGAGTGTCTATATATATATATATATATACTCAGAGTCTTCCAGGTCTAATCTCGAGCAAACTTGCCGACACAACTGAACGATCGGGGCTCACATCGCAGAATGGAGCGGAGGAGCATCGACGGCGTTGGCCCTCTTCGACGATATTCATCTTCCGTCCGCCGAGACTATCGTTCGTCGGTGCACGCTTTGCTGTGAATCCGAATTTCGTACGCGTACCGCAAAGCGGACGCTTCACAGCGCCAGGCTCACAATGCAAGTTGTGCTTTAGATTTTTCTCGCGATTGCACCGCAAATGGAACATTATACAGCATCTTTTTAGTGCTTCGAATTGTTCAATTTCCTTCAGAATTTTTCTGATAAGTGGCGATTTTCTGCGGAGTGGAGAAGGCTCGTAGGATCCTTACAGGGCATTTTGATTTTCGAGGTAATTTGTTGCTTCATGTCCAGGTCTGAGTTGGCTGCAATTGGGTACGATGCTGTGGATTTTGAGCTAGCGTCGACCCCTCACGCGAATTCAAGTGTGATTTCAGTTGATTGGATGCCGTTCGTGTGCTATGATTTCCCCCTTGAATGTTCATCTTCAAGCGCAGCGGCTTGTAGTGAGTAATTGGGCACCGCAGCTCTTTGGGCGTGCCTGCAGGGTTTTTTGATGAACCTATAGACGAACTCCTGTTGTTTCAGAATTTACTCACGAATAGGACAACTTCGAATTTCTAGGGTGCGTGAAGTGGGCTTGGCGTTTGTGGGTTAGCTCCAGAAGCATTTAAATAGATTGAACAGGATTCTGTATAAACGAAGCTGTCTGTAAATTCCTTTTGTATATTTAAAGTAGAGAGCGGATATTTGAAGTGATCGATGAGGATCACGGGCGATGGGCTTTCTCTTCAAGAACCTTAATTGATGAGAGTAAGACTTGTGGAATCACTAGCCAGCGGCAGTGTTTGTGTCCTGTCATTAAATGTTGGAAGCAGCTTTCTCGAAATTTCTAAATGGTTTTGTTCAAAATCCTGTGATTTTCACAACTGTCGTCATGAGCTGTATTGACGATTTGAGTTTTTTTTTTTTTTTTTTTTTTTTTTTTTGGAATAATTTCAAAATGGTTGCGAAAACTTGTGGATTGGCAATTCATGTTGTTCGGTTTTCAGAAGCGTATGTTGAACATCTAGGATAAGTACTACGCAGGTCATGGTTTAGGGGTTACATGTAGCATGATATTATTATGCATCTCGTGAACAGGTTTGTGGAGTCGCATCCAAGTTATGGAATCGCCAGCGATGGATCGTGCACAATTTCGGTTGCAGCAGCTGGCTGCGCACCTTCAACCCGTCCAGGTCCAGGGCTCTCTATCTGCTATGGTAAGACAGAATTCAGCACTTGTCCCCTTGACGTATGAAAAAGTTTCTGTTGAAGGTATTTGAGATTCTTTTTTTTTTTTTTTTTTTTTTTTTTTTTTTCCTCTTTTCTTTTCGTCCTCAGACTCAGATTTCGGACACTTTGATGAAAACCTGGTTATGAATGTTTATGACAACGCAGGCATGCATGGGTGGCATTCGGAGAGACTCTCGAGTTCATTATGCCCGAGCTGCTGTGAATGATGCACGATTTATGCGACCTGCACAGCCCACGAAAGTACTGCTTGTTTTACAGATGAATAATCTTAGTCTTTGATTCTTTGGAATTTCTGAGCCAATGGCTTTCAAACTGTTTTAGTTCTTTATGGAAGAAATCGTCAAGATAGTGGCATGCGAACGTGTTTATGTCTGTGCTGCGAGCTTCAGTTGGAGGTGCAGAAACCTTATGTACTTTGTAGAGTATTACTTGGAAGTCAGGAAAACGTGTAAGCATTGTGTTGTTTGACTTAAATGTAGGTGTTGCAGACGGATCATTGTGGAAGACAGTTTTCATGCTTCATTTGTCTGTTTTGAACATATTTTGGAGAACTATGATTTGGAGAACCGTTGTTAGAATCTCAGGTGGATATTGTAACCACCGTATCTTTGGGCTTGGAACAGGGCAATCACACCGAGGATGTGAAGCAGTCGGTGCCTCAATCTGAAGGTTCTCAATACAAGGAAAAGCATGGAAACTCTCGTGATGTCATTGTTCCTCCTTTGTTTAGCAAGCCATCAGTGCAGGATGCGGTTAAACCAGTTTCAGAACCTATGTTCTCTCGTAGCAGCTCACAGTCACCACAAGAAGTGGAGAAAGAGAAAGAGGCAGCTGCCCTCGCTTGGGCTGCTGCAGAAGAACAGCCAACCCATCCTGAAACAGAGAGCATTGGTAAAGGTAACCCTTCTGTAGCAATTTTTACTTTCGCAAGCTTGCTCATGGTTTGTGCTCACCAAGAAAGTTGCGTATAATTGTTGATATTGACAATCAGGTGGGCTGAGCCACAGAGTTTCGTCTTCTTTGTTTGCAGGCTATGAGTGGTTTCCCCGCATGGATATTGTGGAGTCAGGCTCCGCTTATGTCGTAACCGTTGAACTTCCGGGGGTGAGCGCGGATGGCATCTGTTGTGAGGTCACCTCTGACAGGTAATGAGAATGGATATAATCAAGCTCTTGTATCTACATTAGTCAATTAGAAATTGTGTGTCGGTCTGTGAATTGAGCTTTTGTAACTAAATTTGATACCCAGAAGCCAAGTGGGTGAGATTGTGATCTGCAAGGTTACGCAAATGAGGTGATACCTTTGACATGAGACTAGAGAAGAGAACCGGTTACCTAGGACTACTCAACTACCGTTGATAAGTGCAAAACATATTCTTTCGAATGTTTTTGTTTTTGAATCAATTGAACTTGGTACTTCTTGCCATTTGAGCAGCTTGGTAGTATCAGGCAGTCGGGCTACTGATTGGTGGAAAACAACGGCGACAGTCATGGTAACGGTAATAGCAATGGCAGTAGCGTCTACCATCAACGGCAGCTCGCTCAAGGTCCATACCGAGCCGTGTGGCGTCTACCAAAGAGTGCAGACCTTGGCTCGATAACTGCAGAATTCATGTACGTGAAGTGTAACGTTTTGAATTGAGGAACCTCGGCAGTTGCTTGCCTTTCTACGATATCTTTTGCTTATGATTTATCACTTCCTAAAGGACGATAATGGATGGGCTGGTTACAGTGATGGCTTTTTGCGGGTGTTAGTGCCGAAGAGGCGGATTGTACGCTACATATGAACGAGTTGACGGCCTTCACATTTGGTGCTATAAATATAGGGTCTGCGGGATTGGCCATGTAGAACACCAAGGCCAAGTTCAATAGATCCTTAAATATGTACATGGGAGACTTTCGTGACGCTTTATAATAAAATATCGTGTATTGTAAAGAAGACTTTCAGATGGCAATGTTTTCGCTGGTTGTACCATTTGAATTTCAAGTAAAAGTGTTTGTTGATGCATGTCTATATTCCAATCACACCTATCCAAGCAACCCAGTTCACAGTATGGAGTAGAAGACAAGCTCCTTTTCCGAAGTGTCAATAAGTGTAAAGTGATGCTTATGTACTCCGCTAGTTGTTATTCACTACTTTTATTGCAGATTATACGGAATCACTGTGACTCCGCAGGGAGAAACACAATCAATAAGGCAAGTGTATCACTTCGGTCTCTAAGAGAAATGGTCCACATAATGGTATGGATGACTAGAACTTAGTACATTTGAAGAGTAGACCGAGGATTAGTCAGCTTTTATCTAAAATCTATTGTCTGACAATGCTCTGAATGAATCAACCAGGTGAACCACTGTGTCCCAAATCACTGGGCATCAAGGACATAAAGTTACTGTTATACAACACAGGGACATGTCCAATCCTGGCTTGCATTCTACCACCGACTGTTGTGAATCTAACCTGTAATATAAGTCTACAAGTGACCTCGAAGGTGTCGATGTTAACGTTGCACTATGTACTGTGTTACAGTATCTGGTTGATATTGACAACGCCTATTCAGGAGTTTAAAGAGCTGTTGCTTGCGCAGATTGTGCAGCAGCAAGCATGGCTGGGCTCTCCTTTAAACGAAGCACAAAGCTGAAAGTGCCCTGTGGCTCGCCAGATGGCAATATAACCTGTTTCCACGTGTAGCACCGCAGATCAGATCATGTTTTCATAGCATAAAAGACTCTGATCCATCTAGGACCTGCAACTTGAAGGCCTGTATATTCTAAGCATACTTAGCTGAACTCGAGGGCAATCGCAGATCCAGGCAGTTGGCTGTCAATTGGTGACCTTTGATCAAGGGATATGTGTGCGACAGTCGAAGCTAAACCCCATAACCCACAAGATATCGAAGTCTATGAACTGCTCACACTAATTTAAAATGCGCGGATCTAGTTCCGGGGACCATTTGAAATATGCATAAAACCAACACTGGAACTCTAGAAAGCATCGAATTAAACTTCAGAAGTGAAGAAGAAATAACACACCGGTTGCTCGGGGAACTCAGCTACTGCAGCGCAACCCGAAGCGCCCCGCTGCAAGAGCTCCGCAAGAGGGACCACAACGCTTCCGATAGGTTTGGTGGACAAGAACCCTTGGCCCAGCAGTTCGAGGTTGAGATGCATAGTCTGACTCAGAGTCCGAGCCTCAAGCGCCATCGTAATGGTATAATTCCACACGGGGTTGCTGCCATTGGTCTTGTCCACGGGCCCTGGCACTCGAACGCTGGGATCAATCCACGCCACGACGTAGGCGTGCATCTTGCTCTTGTTCACCTTCTTCAAATTGGTAGCAGATATGAGCTCCACGTCCAGTCCCCTATCCGCCATGACGCCGACCGAAAGCGCCCACTTGAACAAGCAAACTAACCGCTACACAAAACTACAATTGCACACAGTATCACCAAAAAAGACGCACCACACAATTCTAAGGAAGAATTCTAGAAAACACACACACACACACTCGGCTGCTCGGACTGGACACGACTCGCTGACGCACACACCAAAACCAAACCCTGAGGGTGGTGGATCAATCACGGCACTGCCCTCTGAAGGCGAGGCCTGCAAACGGTGATCTGCTTGGATTGCATTCTCTCACTCCCTCTACGATTCGACGCTGCCGAGGAGGAAGCTTCCTTGATGCTGCAAGGATGCTTCGTGCACGCTCCCCGCGATGCTGTTTCCAGACCCTCGTGCGTTCCTGCGTCCGGAATAAGGGAACAATGACGTTCCCGAAGGGGAACTTGAGAGCGCGAAGGCTGTCGGCATCTGCAGTAGGTCGGATCCCATCCCATGGATCCGCCCCCACCCTCGCATATTCTACTCTAACCTTATTTAATTGTTTGAATTATACATGACTTAAGGAAGAGCCCCCCAAGAGAATATGGACCTACAGAACCACAATAGAAACTGCATTTAAGAGGAGGGCGTTGGATAATGGTGGGCCTATATTTAAGTGATGTATGTATTTGCCGCTGAAAGTCTTGCCCCTTCTGAACCTCACTTCCTTGCCACAAATGTGACTATCTACCCTTCCTCCTCCATTCCCCACTTTGTCTCATTCTTTTGCTTTATGGGGAATTCTCAGGAGTCAGAAATGCTGCTTCGTTGATAGAAGGGCTCAAAATATTAAAAAACAACAGAGGGAAAAACAAAAAACAAAAAAAAACAAAACACAACAAAACACAAAACTCTAATAAATTCAAATAATAAGATAAGAATATAACAACAATGATTTAGCCGTTAGACATGAGAGTGTAAGAAAGTGAGTACAAGAAAGAGTGTGAATATGTTAATCAGTCAAGGTAAACTTATTATAAAAAATGTATTGAGAGCATTTTCTTCAAAATTAACCGCTCTTTGATTTGGACCTAATGTAACAATCAGAATTATTTAACTTTCTATCTTCCTCTGTTTGTGTTAAATTTGAAATGGATAATAAGTAATTCATAGATTCAAATTAATTGCAGAAAAAAAGAAGTGTTCCCTTCAACATTTGATTTTATTCCACTTTGATCAATTATATAAAACTTTTGATTCAGTGACTACATATATATATATATATATATATATATTTGAATTAATTCTTTGCAAGAAGTATGCTTCAACAATACAAAAAATTCAATGAATTAGTACTTGATTAGTGTTGTCTTAAAAATAACCATGTCTTCTATTATGAAATAGGACATGTAAAAAGTGTGATTAAATTTAAATTTCTATTATTGAAAACATACATGATGTAACAATGCCAAGTTTCCTTGAATACAATGCAATAATATTCTATTATATGCAAATGCCATATTACCAATGTATATTCTAAGCAAACTTGCCAAGGCTTTGATATCATTGTTCTGGTTGTTTCAAGAGTACTTTGAATGTTTGCAAAGATTAAATATTTTTTCCAAGTAAAACCATGCTTTAAATTTTATTTTCTTAAACTACAATGATTTGTCAATTATGTGTAGATTATGTCTAAAAACACATCATGTAACAAGATAATGCACATGGGCACATGGTTTAAAAAGAATAATTGATTAATTGATTAATTAGAGATTTAAGCTAAATCAGAAAAAAAAAACAAACAAACAAAATAAACATACATAGGCAGCATTCTCCTCCTGTAGCAACAGCAAATACTGAGACAAATCAATCCATGATAAATCCAAAAATAAATAAAATAAAGCCATAGCAATGCAAAGGTTGTCAAAGATGGGTTCATGTTGATAAAATGTTAAGGGAGGTAAGGGAGACTCTATGCACACTAGGGAGGTGCTCTGAGATTGCACACACCATGGCAAGGCCAACATATAGGTGGTTGCCAAAACTGTATGCCAAGGAGGATTTAAAGAAAAATAGGTCAATAGAAACTCCCATTAAAGTAGAGATAGAGTTGTATATAGTCAAGGAGTTGCAACTCCTCTGGTCGCACATTCCTTTATTAAATAAACTTTGCAAAACATACTCAATTTGGTGTGAATTACAAAAATATATTAACTTCATTACATACAAGTAATTCTAATTCTAATACAAAATTTGATGGCTCTTGATACACTATCTACAAACAAAAAATATAAAACAAAATTTGTGATGGAAGAATTGTGGGAGTTAGTCTCTAGCAGAGAAAAAGAACCAATATCTATTCTAGAAATCAATGCAACAATATTAACTCCACCAACAAACCAAGGTGCAATTATTATGTAGAAAAAAAAAAAAAAAAAAAAAAAAAACTATATTGCTCTAATAGCCATATAGGATTATATAGATAATACAATATTCTTCTGCATTGGAGCATGCAAAAAAGCCAATGAAGCATGACTTGCTCTTAAAAAATCATATTCAACAAATGACATTGTCACTAAAGCTTACTTATAAGAAAGATTCATCATAAAATATTAAAAGTAAAAAAATTAATAATACAATACTTACACAATTTTAAAACTTTATTTTAACAATGTCATTCTCTTGGAATAATAATCCTACTTCAAATGGAAAGCCTTATCCTTTTGAGGTCCATATTATTTCAATATGGCATAGTTATTCAAACTCTTTGTACTTCAAGAACTATATGTGATGAACATACATATTCACTCTAATAGTTATCTAGATAATATGAATAGGAAGAAGTAGATAAAAAAATAGATTAATTTAATAATATCTTTTAAAAAAGTCTTTTAGAAGCTTCATAGATATGATTCACCTTTATACATATTTATAGGTGATTGATAGAATGAATACTTAATCAATAAATTAGCCATGTGTCACATGTGTCAATAGCTTGTAGTATAAGCTAACCATGTGGCATACATATATAAAACTTACCTTATAAGTTAAGACATGTATCTTGCAAATTTGACACATGTTGGAAGTCCTATAGAATGTTACCACATAGGTTCTAGTTAGATAGTATATATAAAAGAAAGAATAAAGCCTTCTTTATTCTTGTCAATTCTTTTCTTACTTTTAGTTTAGTTTTAAGAGTCTAAGAATTCTAGTCTTTGGTAATAGCCATTCCAATTTCTTCTTGAATATACATACTTCCTTATTATCATTTTTTCATCTTTCTTTGATACTTATTTCACTTGTTTATTTATCTTCTTTGAGTTCTTTTCTTTGATACTACAACACTTTTAAAATTGGTTGCAATCCTAATTTAAGAAGAGATAACTATAAAAGGATTATCATTTGAATCTCAAGCACTCTTTATAAGATGCAAAAGTAAGAACAAGTGGCAATCAAGATCCTTTACAAAACAACTCCAAAAGACTAAAAAAGTTCAAAAAACAAATCAAAACCAAAAATCCCATGTTTCCATTGTAAAAAAAAGAAAAAAAGAAAAAAATGTTAGAATATAGATTATTTTACAAAAAAACAAAAAATTTAAAACTTTTAAAAACATCATAGATACATCTTATAAATATGTGAAGTCTAAATAGAAGTAAAAAAATATAGAAGAAATTCTTTTATCATTTTATATTCATATTTATTTTATAGGATTATATTATTTTAAGAAACATTTATAATTAAGAGCAAAAAAAGATGCATAAAAGTTCATTAATATTGGACCCACACATTACTTGATTCACTACAAAAAAAAATTTATCAACTTTGAATCATTTTTACTTAGAAAAAATAAAGTCAATTTTAATAATAATACCATCTATTTTAATTATAATAAAAAAAATTAAAATTTCTATAGTCAATAACAAAATAAAATAAAATAAAAACAAAAATAAATTGTCTCATCAATATAGTCTATATGTTCAACTTGCAAAAAAAATACACAAAGATACTTATTTATATAGATAAAAAGTAATAGGTAAAAGATAAATGTGGATAGATTTAATAATATCTTATGGCAAAGCTTTTTAGAAGCTTTATAAATGTTGATTTGACTTTATATGTGCTTGTAGTTGATTGATAGGTTATAAACTTGGCCAAAAAATTAGCTACATATTGTACATGTTGGTATCTTATAATACAATCTAATTATATAGTGCACATATAAAAAACTAGTCTTATAATTTAGACACATATTAGAAGTCCTTTAGAACATTGCTACGTAGCTTCTAATTAGTTAGTATATATAGAAATAAGAGTGAAGCCTTCTTTAGTCTTATCAATATCTTTCTTATTCTTAGTCTTGTTTCAAGAGACTCTAATTTTTTTGTCTTTAGCAATAGCCATTCTAATTTAATATTATATCATCTTTGAGTAATTATCTATTTTTTTTGAGTGGCATAAGAGTTTATTGATCCTTCAGCTATTTCTTTACATGCAATGAGTTATGGTAACATTATAAAATGACCTAGTGAGCAATAATATTAATATAATTGTAAAATTTTATAAAAAAATCTAGCAGTAGCTCTGGCTTGCTGAAGCAAATTTATTTGGTTATTAACTTTAGTATTATCTTTTGGATTAGTTGATAAAGGGAATTAACTTTGATAGAAATAAAAAGTCATAGAGCCATCTATTTGATTGCTAAAAGCAAAGATTTCCACAATTTTTTCTAATCTAAATTAGAAATGCTTCAATCTCTCAATCACAACTAAAAATATATATCTTATTATCTACTCAAAAAAATAATTTCTATATGATATCAATATCTAAATAAAGATGCTTAAGCCATAGAATTCCATCTTTACTTTACATCCTAAAAGGAATATGTTATGAATTCTAAAAGCCAAGTTTTGTGGCAAGCTTATTAAAACCTTAGATGGTTCCATATGGCTAGCAAAAAGAAGGCTATTATATCCTGGAGGTTATACCAAGATACATGAAAGAGCCAAAACAAGATTAGAGTGAGGAAAAAATGCATTTCCATCTAATATCTAGTAAACAACCATGTATAACAAAATTATTTGGAATATTTTGAAGGGCTTATGTAGTGGTCAATAACTATACTTCAAATAAAATGCAATAGATGTAAATAATTTTTGGCATGTAAGGAAGAAGAAGTCATAGTGAGATAAAATTAAAATCTTAGATTCTTTGGAAAAAATGATATATAATAAAATATATTGAAGATAAATATTTTAAATATAGATATATTTTTATTTAAAAAAAAGAAAAATTGCATGTAGTCTTGTTGGTATTAGAAGACAACTAAAAGACCATTGTATAGCAGATTGACAGATCAAAAACTTAGGAGACAATAAATAAAAAATGATATCAATATTTTGGAAAATTTAAATACATCCTATAATAGCAAAGATTACTTTTTTTTCAATACAATTGATTATAATTGTAGTATAAGAGATGTTTTTGTCAAATCATCTATTGATAAAAATATCTATATTTTTTTAGTATTTCTAATCTAAATAGGATCTTCGTATAAGATAAATTATTGATATTTAATATATTTAATTACTTGTAGTCATGTTCATAGGATAAATATATGTACTTTCTAAGATTATTAATTTTTAAAATATTTTAGATAATTTATAAGGTTTTACAAGTATTATTACAAAAGATATATAATATATAGATCTTAAGCATCATTAGAAAAAAAATAAGAAATAGAAGGTACTTAAGATATTTTCTAAAAAAAACCTTCAAAATTATATCATCTAAAAAAATAATTAAGACAATTTAAGACAATTTAGAATGATATAAAAATTAGAGAATTATAGGTCAAAAGCTAAAATCCTGATTATGATAGAAGACACAAAGAAAATTTTATTCTAAGATGTGTTTTGAAGTTGTAGAAAAATACATTCCATAATTCCAAATTATTAAGATCAAAGATGCCAATTGAATAAAAAGTTAGAAACAATTAGATATAAAAAAATCCTTGTGTAGAATTATGTATCAAATTCTAGTTAAAAAAAGACCATGTATCAAAAATTGCCTTGATTCTTAACCAAATGGTAGATACCATTTTTTCTAAAATATTTAAAATAATTAATTCTAGGCTCAATAAATCCTTGACTTGCAACAATATTGCATAAATCTTTTAAAAACATGGCTAATAAGAAAACCATAGGTCCAAAGGATATAGTAAAGAATTCTTCAAAATAATTTGGAATTTCATTGGTATACTCTTTTTTATCATATCAATAATATATTAATCAACAAAGTTTTTTTTTATTATATTTAGGATAAAAAAGATTTTTTTTATTATTATTTTTGCTCAAAAGTAGTAAGATACTAATATTCTTAAGTAATTAGAAACCTATTCACAATTTAATATATCATACAAGATCTATACTAAAGTACTTCAAAAATTATTATAAGCAAGTTTTATAAAAATCATAAGTACTAATCCAACAACTTTTTTATAACTTCATCACATTTTGGATAATATTCTTCAAAGCTAAGAAACCACAAGTAGGCCAAGCTATCCAAACAACCTTTGTTGATGCTTAGGATAGATCTATTATAATGAACATTATATGCTTATAGTTATGTTCATAAGATAGATCCATTATTACAGACATATGATCTACTTTGTATTATACCTTGCTATACATAGATATTGTGAATATATGCTATCATTGGTTTATTTGTCATTGATTCAAAAAGACTTTTATGTATTGTTTTATTTTTTAAAAAAAAATCTTTACTTTTTGATGTTATAACTTGATATAACATTCAAAATTTAATTTTTTGTCTCAAATTTATTTGAGATGGCTACCATCTATATCTATAAAAAAGAATATACATGGAATGCTTGTGTTATATCATTCATGTTGTTGATTTGGAATTGAACCAATTAAAAGGACATAGAGTTTGTTGGAATATTCACAACTTCTTTGTTTGATTTTGCATCTATTAAATTGATCAAATCCACTCCATTTTGACTATCCAAGCAAAATTGCTTTGCACATATGTTTTTTCTTTTGGTTTTGATGTTTATTTTGTATATTTTTATTTTTTATTTGCATTTGATATTGATCTTTCTTAGTAAAATACTTTACTACTATAGTAAAATCTTTGTTATGAACAAGTTCATCTTCTTTCTTTGGACGAATTTGAGACAAAAGCACCATATCTTTATAACTTCTTTCTACTTGTAAGAAGGCTTCTTTATATTCTTATTTGTTGAAGAAAAAGGTCTACGTACTTTATTTTAATATTTTATAAATATTATAAGTAATGTTATTATTATTTTATATTATTTTATGATTGATATTATATATAAAAAAATATTTTCTTTGGTGATTTTTTACTAAAAAAAAACAATATCAAGTAGAAAGGTAGTTAAAATTATTCATAATTGTTTTTTTTTTTTTTTTTTTTTTTTTTTTGCATAAATGGATTGATAAGTGCCACCTCCAAATCCCATCCACCTTTAGATTGTATTGTAATGAAAAACCTTAATCTATTTATACCACTAGTTTTCAAACTAATATGAAGAATGTTTTTTTATAGTTAGTTGTTGTTAAAAAAAATAATCTTTTAGAATACATCTAGAAAATATTTTGAAGTTATTTATATCAAAATATATAGTGCATCTATTTTATAGGAAATTTTTTCATAATACACTCTTATTGAATCAAAATTTGGATCTTTTAGTTGGAATGTATAAATTGTATTAATAGTTCTCTATAGAGATGGAATTTGGACTTTATGTATTGCTTTCTTAAGCATTGATTTTAAATAAGAAAAACTTTTGACATTAATCTTCAAACATTAATTTGAATAATTAAATACCATATGATATCTAAATCATGAAGATATCTTGATTACTAATAGAAATCCATCTTTCATAATGGAGGTATTAGAAGTACACACATTAGAAAAAAAAACAAAATAGCAAACATCAATACTTTCTAAATGATAGAATAAAAATAAAAGATAATATTTTTAGGAAAAATAATTTCATCAATAACATGTTATAATATTATCTAATGATATTGCCACATTAATATATTTATATCTTATTTAACAGTATATTTTAAACAAATCAAAATCTCAAGATCAATAAAAAAAACACATTTATCATATTATTCAACATGTATAAATTGCAACAAGACTACATTGTTATTATTAAATCATTGTTAAAATAATTTTTTTTAATAAAAAAATATTCATAAATTTTATATCCTAAATTTAAAATATATAGATATCATTAGTTATCTTAACATGTATTTTTTTTTATCTTTAATCACTTCATTCTATATTCTACAATATATATCTTAATGATTACACAAAAAAAAAATATATTCATTCATCTACATCAACTTTACTTTATTTACTAAATGTAAATTAGAGAATTTTTGGAATGATTCTATACAATACATATTTTCAAGCATGTAAGGAAGCAATCACTACTTTAGCTCAACCTTTGTAATATGCTCCAACATTAAAAAAACAATCATTTGTAGTAAGTGAGATTTTTTTATATTGTGCATAATATTAATATAGAGCCACAATAAAGTTCTATACAACCAACTCAAATAAAAACAAACAATAATAAATCAAGTAGCAACCTAACAAAATTAAAATCTTAGAGAAACAAGTACAAAATCAAACAGTTGCCTAACAGTTCAACAAAACATGTGACTTTCCAACTCAAGTCAAGGTGCAAATCCTTACCAACAAATGCACATACACCAAGCTATTGATTAGTCTAATAGTCTGAGAAATATATTAAAATCTCAAGTAATGGATTAATTTGGCCAATTTTGCCAATAGGATGCAATTCTCAAATTTTTGCATGCATGCTACAATCCATCTAATGTATTGTACTTCCAATAGACCACTCTATCTAAGGAGATTCAAATAACTGCCTTTTTTTAGACAAAACAAATAAGACAAAGCATTCTTTGTCAACTATTTTCACAATGGTATAACTTGCACCAATGATAGCAATGTACAAAACCCAGTTCAATACATGTCCAACAACTTAATAAACCACAAGACTTTGCCACTCAAGCCAAGGCTTAAATCTTTATCAATAAATGCACATAAACTAAGGTACTGTTGAACTTGAATCAAATGCAAATGCATGGTTTCTCTTACAAAAAATAAAAATTAATCTTAGCAAACATTCAAAGTACTCTTGAAACAACCATACGGATGGTATCAAAGTCTAGGCAAGGTTGTTTAGAATATACATTGGTAACATGGTATTTGCATATAATAGTATATTATTGCATTGCATTCAAGGAAACTTGGCATTGTTAGATATCTTTGAATAGATTGATTTTGTTTAATTATACTCTATCTACTTAATAATTAGTTCCATAAAATATTAATGCCTAAAAAACATTAAAACAACCTACAACAAGGATAAAAAATTTGGAGGATGGAAACAAAAAGGATGCAAAATATATTACAGAATTAATTGCAAGCTGCCACTAAGTATAGTCAATACTTGCATAATTTTGTAAGTAGGAGAACATCTGGAGAATATGAATATAAAATATAAACAATAAACTTAAGAATTATGGCTCCACCTGATATCACCCCCTCAGTTGACTTTTATTAGTCTTCATAACAGATTGTTTTATTTTTGATAAAATTGGCACTTATGAAACAATTACGTATTGCCATTGACAGAATCATTAATCTCCACTACAATGGAGGGAAAAATGAAGGATATCACCAACTCTTTAATTTTGTAGGCATTGATTTACTTGACTTCTTTCAAAAACATTCTCCAATACATTCTCCTCCTTTTGACACCCCCTACATTTGCAATTATTTTGATTGTGCAATGTACAAACCCCTCTACAATTTGAGAATGTATGAAATAAAGAAGTTGATCGAATGATCCCAGGAAAAAAATTGATGGCTTCCTTGGAATTAAGCAATATCAGAGAGGAAATCCTTACAGTTAGGTTTTATTTGTAAAACAAGGAAATTCGTACTTTTAAATAGTAAATGTGGTGATTTTTCGCAGGAAAAGTACGTAGACCAAATTATGGCCTAACTTGTTATTAGTAGCCTGTGGAAGAGAGGCTATTTACATAAACGGCGTAGTTGTATCATGTGACAATAATGAATTTCATGGAAGTAATGTTTGTAACTAGATTCGACATAGGAACTCTGTAATCCGAGTCCAATAATCGAGTGCAGACCTTCACGACATCAGAACAAGTAGCAGCTAGCACTGTAAATCAATGGTGCCCACACCTATCATCGAAAGTTCAGGCTGCAAACGAATTGCATATCATCTATCAAAAATAAACCGACTACTGTAGCTTACAGTTGTGGGTTGGATAGAAGCTATCGATATCAAGGGCCTGTACAATATCACCAGCTTTCTTCAAATAAGAGGAGTGACCGTTCACCAGATCCGTCACATCCACCTGTGTGCAACAAATTGAACCAACATAAGAGGCCCCGCACGACTGCTCAAGAGAAGAACGACAAAAAAATAAACAAATAGTCTCAAACAAAAGAATGGTAGAAATCGATGTCATTTTCTTCTATTCCTCTATTATACTACGCCACAAGGTCACCTGCCAGGATTAAGTAGATGCCAGCTGAATATGCCAGCTACGTGTGCCATATTTTAAGATTCTCGGTAGAAATCATATTTTCAGGTTTCTGATGCATGTGTTATGTGGCATATTCAACTGACGTGTTAAACGGTTCTTCGTCGATTGTAAGTTGCAGTGCGGTCATATAACCTAAGAACCATATGAAAAAAGTTCACAAGACAGATCACAACTGGCAACAAGACAGCAATTATATGTGCTTTGTTGTGACATACATTTTCGATGCCAGGTACGTCGACAGCTTGAAGTCCTGCTAGTCCCTGAGAGAGAAAACTGCAAGGAAGACACCACAACACTGGTTAATACGACAGTCAAAAGAATTGTTCTACGATAAAAATATAGACTCATGCTTTGAGATTAGGACATAATACCTACTGAAACACATTATCCTACAAATAAGAAACATAGCTTCTGTCAGCTGCTTGCGAGAATGAACCGAGTTTTGGAAATTTATCTGCACGATAAGGAATATGCTAATGCGAGATCTATGGTTTGGGGTTGACTTCGTACCATGCATGACTAACCCTTACAGGAACCTCCAGAAACGTTGAAAGTACAAAGAAAGTATACTACTGCTTCGAGTAAACAAATATTCAGCATATGTTCAATATGTCACATAATAAAACCATCAGAAACTTGAAAATTCGATCGGTCCTCACATCAAAATGCCTCAGTCAAGGGTCGAAAATTACTTGGCTCTGTACACTACACCAAGCATCCAATCGCTGGTGGAATAAGCATTTATGAATCGTCCTGCAACAACCTGTTCCAATATCTATCTTGTGAGAAATAGTTCGATGCCAGTAGCAAGTTGGCAACAATGTTGGTTAAATCAGTCAAATGCAGGTAAATATTATGCATGAGATAACTTCGTTCATATCCTTACAAGGATGCACCACTGAGGTTAGAAGAAAAGCTCGACTTCTGTATAGAAAGGTGGTGGCAGAAATATAGATAGAAAATGAACTGCGTGCTTTGAGGATCATAATTTGAAAGGATTACGAAACAGGGAAAAGTTGCACTTCTACGAACATACATGTGCTTCAACACAGAGGCCCACAGCGTCAATCAACCAACGCAAACTGGCACAACATACCTGCCGTGCTTTCTCCCACCGAGGTTTATTGAGAATGAGGGGAGCCCCAAGGAGTACCACGCGCTCGACAATTCCACCTAATAATTCCCAACCAATGTGATAAGTGTTTGCTTCATGGAATTTGATACTAGAACCACCATTATCCTTATACTATCTATCAAGGCGATTTCTAACGTTGAACCGTGTCAACGACCGACATGACATTCAAAACTATTTAGGAAACCTCAAATTTTCGCCAGAAAACAAAATCAACTTCTAAAATCTAATGCAAGATTCAAGAGGCGAAGCGTACCTTGGTTTCCTTCCTTTGCTAACTCTTCCAAACACGCAAAAATAACCCGGGCACCCAGTGAAAATCCAATGAGCGTCACTGGCCTGTGTAAAATAACAGCACCTCAAAATTACATATTAGAGTCACCACCTTGTGTCCTGATTACGATCTAAAAGCACAGTTTCTAAGGAAATCGTGGCAGTCCCTGAGCAGCCTCAAATTTAGAAGATCTGTGCTTATTGGTCAAACAAAGCAGAAAACCAGGCAGCGAATATATGAGCTGCCCCAACTATTACGGACCAACGAATAAGACGCTCTGTTTACCTGTTTCCTTGAGCACCTTTCAGTAAAACTTTCGCCAATAACTTGCCGACTTTGTCGGACCTGCAAAGCTCTCCCCAAAACAAACCACCCTCCTGTCAACCTCACCGAATATCGTCATATTCCGATTTACAAGTCGCATTGCTCTGAAGCAATTTCAAAACTGAAAGAATATCATACCGGTGGAGTAAAAGGGGCCAATTGAAGTGATCAAAGGTCAAACCTGTCAACAGCAATCGTCCACTTGCTGTCAATGAAATCGGTGGCACTAAGCAATGTGGCAGGCCATGCTAGAGCAGCAACGAGGCCGCCAAGAACAGTATACATTGCTCCCCGCGACATCAGCTGAATCGCCACATCTAAGTAAACCACACATTCATAAGACTTTCCACAGAAAATTGATAAATCATTACCGGAAAACTATCCATCCTGGACCGACATGGTCAACTGATTAGAATATCTTTAAGTATCGGCTTCTTCTAAAGAGTGTAATTCACTTACACCTCATTGGTTTGCAGAAAGGACAACGTTACCACCATAAATATTGAGCGAGAAGTAAACAACGTGCCACTAGAGTTTTTAGCATTATGACATTCATGAAAAAACGTTAAAAGTATTACGAAACATACACAAACCTTTCAGTTTCTCAAGTTTAAGAATCACATGGTGCTCTGGAACATGATAGATGCTTCTCTGCAAAGTTGAAATGAAATTCGGAATATACTTCTGTTCTAAGGACACCATTTCTAGGTAAATGGGGGTTATTAATTAATTCCTATAGAACCTAAACTATAAAAGCTATTCAGTGCTGTGTTCAGGTGCATAGTCATGAGCAAAGTATTACTTACTGGAAGTGAGCCAGTCTTCTATGGCTGTGCTGACTGCTAGAAGATGTTCAGACTCCCATTGAAGAGCATACCTGTTACAATTACTTCGGTGAGATGCAGTTCAAAATCTACAAGAGAATTAGTCAAAATAACTATTCAATCGCAGCTTGTGAGTGGCGTCTTATTGAAGAGTAACAATATAATCAATATCGTAAAATTCATTGGGCAACAACATAATTAGGTTCAAAGTGAAGTTGAGCGAAGAATTATAACAGTGTCCAGGTTAGTGTTCTATATCGTTGACACAAGAATGAAGAATAATTTACTTAGTCTGATAAACAGTTCATTGGGCATGAGAAGAACCTTTCTAAGTCTCCGTCCGGTGCTTCCCATGGTTCAATATAATCATACAGATCGAAAACAATACCGGAAGCGAGAACCGCAACAGCTAGCCTCTGCAAATAAAATCCAAAGAGTTGCCTTCAGATTGGATAACTGATGAATGGTGCGCAAAGTAAATATGTCTCTGTAATAATTGTGTTACTTATCAGGTTAATGCATCTCATGGTAGCAACTGCAGCATTTCAAAGTGAGGAAGAAACAACCAAATTGGAAAGTCAAACTTACTCCCTGCTGGTGATTATCACCAATTGGCACAAACTGAAATTCCTCAATTCCACCAGTTCTTCGAGCCATCTTAAAACCAGTCAGGCCAGCTCCAGCAGCTGTTGCGCGAACAAAGTGAGAAAAAAAACGATAATAAGACAACCTACGTTATTCTTTTCTACCCCTACTGTGATTAATTCAAAAAGGTCTTAGTTACTAAACCTTCAGTTCAGTTAAATAGCAAAATTAATACTCTGGCCGCACATCATGCCATGTAATCTGAAAGATAAAAAGAGGGGAGTATTCCTAAGAGCTTGGAACGGGAATTCTAAAGAATACCTGGCAATGCCAGGTTAGAGGACCGTACCTCCAAACGAAGCTGCCACGGCCAAAGAGCCCATTGTGGAACCCGCCAGTGCAGCAGCTGCTGCAAGGCCACCAGCTCCAAGTGCAGGTACTGCTGTTCCAACAGCGGCCATACCTGCTGCTATTGCCGGAGCTGCTAGTCCTGATGGGCAAAACAGCAAAACAAAAGAAAATAAGAGGAATAAAAAAATATTCTAGTTTATATAACACCAGAGCACCTGCAAACTAGCACAAAGCGAGAGTGACAAAACAAAACAAAAAAAAGCGATAGAATAGCATAAGCAACAAAATCAGCGAGTATACATTGCTAAATACAACAGCTGTATTCAATAGGAGAAATTAAGGGACATGCCAAAAGGTTGTACACAAAATAAACATTGAAGAACATCGATAGACAAAAATATCTATGAAATACATATGATATGATATGGATGAAATACGATCAGTCACAATGAGAATAGGTGATTTGAATTGGTCTCATAAGGGATCGAACCATTATGCCCATCACATTGTTGGTCATTCGTATTTATAATACTACATGGATACTAATGGCTGCCGCTATCGTATTCCTTAAGATCGGAGATGAGTTGAAGAGAAAAAACAGTTCAATCGCATTTACCACCAGTAATTGCCAAAAGGACTCCTCCAGTAACCGCAGCCCCACCAATTAAACTTCCTCTTTTCAGTCTCTGCCACCTGCTTTTTGCAACTTCTTCATCGTCATTATGGGTTTGCTCTCTCTTCTTATGAGCATCCATGGCCGTATGAGCTACCATTAACTCCAAGCTCACCTGTCACCATGTCCACTATGAAATTTAGATATTTAATACATGAACCTGACAGATACATCTAACGTAACCAGGAGGGCGTCAAATAGACGTCAGAATATCCGAAGGTTCAGAAATCGCCTAAAAACACAAGTCGAACGCTGTAATAAAGCGTTCTGTAGTTACCCATTGTAAGACTACTACGTCTTAAGATGGACTGACGATAGAGTACAAAGGTTGGTAGAATGCACTTTCGTGTCGAATAAAGCTCTTTACCGAGGAAAGCATAGCACCTATTTATTGCCTAGGTCTGAACATAAATTCACTGAAAACACAATACAGAATCAACCCTCTTGCGAGGTTTACGACTAAGTTGAGGGGATGACGAATCGGAAGAGAAGAAAAAGTGCACACCACTTTGCTCCATTTAATGTTAAGCCAGAGAGCAAGCAAACGCAGAGCCACACGTTGGCGTGCATCATACCCATACTTCGTAACCTTCAGTCCTTTACCGTTAGGAAAGCCAGAGACGCACGCCATCACCAGCTCGTGCATAATTTCTATCTTCCGTTGCTTCGTCATAATCTCAGCTTCACTGAACCTGCTATAATATTCGGAGGACTCTTCAAATTCCTGAGCCCTATCCTTTCCCTTGACATTGACCACCGAAGAATCTGCAACGACAAACAATAAGCACGAGGGCATGTACAGATATTGATCCTTCAAACAGATTTAGGGACATCTTCTAGTACCAAAAAAGCAGGATGGTTTCACCACTACATACGACCACAATCATTAATTCTCAAAATTATCGACAAATTCTGTGAGATGATGCATCTATTGCCACAATCTAAATGCTTCAATACAAAAAGAGAAGAATTAGCACATTTCGTTCAGATTAACATTACTTGTGACACTTCCAACTAGCATAAGAAGAATTATTACACTAGCAGGAAAGCGAAATTTGGAAAACTTAAAACTTCCATACCTTCATGACGACGAAGGGTTCCAACTCCATCAGAACTTGCAGCAGATTCCATCATCCGTCGACTTTCACCACTTGATGAAGGTTCACTCTCATCTTCTGCCAACAATCTCAGAAACTGTAAAGCATAATTAGCAAATCTCCCCACAAAATGTTGTCAACGATATTTGGTGTTGGGAGTTGCACAGAAGTGAAGTCCCAATGCTTACCTGAATTAGAACGATAACTAGCTGCATACCAAGGACGAAGAGTTCCAACAAATACATCGATAACAACCCTGAGAAATAGCAAATCAAATAACTTACGGCTCCAATTTGGTGTTTGCTGTCGGGAGACATAGCCGTCATCTCAAGTCCAATCCATGCTTTCTCATCTATTCCTAAGAACCTGTGTAATCCAATATTTCAGTTAGAATTTTAGAACATGTAATGAACGAGGAATACCTCCAAAAACCGAAGCTACATCAATGTTGTGTACGTTTGAGCACTATAACTAACCAGTGTAAAAAAAGTAAGAAAGCACGGTTTGTAACACCTTCAATACCTGTTGTCCCTGATAATTCGATAGATAGACATATGCCCAACTCCATGGAACAATTCAACGGAAATTCGTACGACTGGGCAACAGAGTTTGTGAAACACTAGACGACGCCTACAATTCAAAAACCCAATGCGACACTCTCCCTTCATACTTTACGAAAGCACATCGAGTACGCTCCATGGAAGGAAATGTATTAGCACAGGGCAAGAAAATGACACAAAATGCCGATACCCTTCGAGAAGAAAACACGTAACACGAACGTTGATCACCAATTCAAAAAAGAAGATGGACAGAAAGAGAGAGAGAGGGGTAGGAGAAAATGGAAAACCTGAAAACGTGGCGCAGCAACCCATGATCCGGATCGCACCATGAAACCTCCTCCGCGTCGAGGAAGGGAGTCCTGGGCTGCGGATGGTCATCGGAACCACCGACGGATGGGTGTTCGAGAGGAGCTCGCGGCTGAATTTGAGCCTGACTCAAAGCTAGAGCGAAAAGCCCACCCGCAGCGTACCGATGCACGCTACCCAACTCCGCCATCGCTAACAATCCCCACACTCGAGTCCAAAACCCTGTTTCACCATCCCAACACGAACGAGACGCGCAATTCGGACAAATGCGTATCGGCTTCCGTTCTCGCAATCGCCCACTACAACTGCCCAAGACAGAGACTGAGCCCAATTTCGCCCTCCGCTCGAGAGCCCGAGTCAGAAAAAGCCCGCTGACCCCCACCACCCCGTCCCCACTCCTCCCGAACGTGGGATTCACGTCCGCAACCGAAAATGCATTGCATTGCAGCAGGAATTGCTGTTGCAATTCCCCTGATTTATACCCTATTGCTCTTCTTCTGTGTGATGGATTTCTTGCCATGTCTTCGCACTCCACACACATCTGTGCATATGTATATATATATATATATGTATGCCCAGTGTGAGTGAGTGTGTGAGTGAATTGCATCAGCATCATGTTTGTCGTACATTCTGATATTTCAGTGCTGTTATGACCATACTGTTTGTTGTGTGGAGCCCATTTGTTTGTGTGACCTTCATAGTTTTGATGGTCCATGTTCTGTTGTTGGTGTCTGGAGAAATTTTGATACCTGTTACAAGTGTGATAAATAGTTGGTCTTTATGACAAATATGCTTTTGTGTTGTCATTGCTCCAGCAAATGAGAGTTTCATCAAATTATACCTTGCTGTATTAAATTGGTGTACACATGCTAAGTATATCCAATTTTACAATTTAAATTATTTAATCATGATAAGAGTAATGGTAATAATATTTTAAAAAATACCTAAGTTGGCTAAAATTGTTACAGTTTTTTTTGTAAATCTTTTGTGATGTTTTGTGAAATCTCAGTTACTTTTGATGATATGAAGTGTTTCAAGTAATAAATTATAATATTTCTCTTTATTAAAAACTTAAAACTTGGGTTAACTTGCAATGTAATTTTAAAAGTTAATGATCATCCTCAAAAAACATTTTGGTCCTGGTGTGTATCTTAGAGTTATTATGATTGTGATAACTGTTGTTAGAAATATGAAGAAAAAAAAATCAAAATCAAAATTTTTTATATATATATATATATATATATATATAATGTGATACTTTTCTATAAAAATATTATATGGATACAACTAAAGCATTTAATAAATTATAGATTAATTTTTTTAACCTGAAAATATGATAATACTACATTGCTTATTTAATAGGATTTTAATGAACAACCTATAATATTAAGTGTTCTAAATTTCTTAAATATATAAAATTATTGTTAAGAAACAAAGAGGTCAATTCTTATGACTATTGAGTTATTCTTGGCAAAATTTTTATGGTAAATATTATGGTAAATTTTGCAAATCAAATATCTTTTATTTTTAAATAAGGATATATTTAGTAATTACTTGTATATTTTTAAGTTTATAAAATAGAAATAGCAAAGAGCCTCTCAAAATAGGATTTAATTGTTATTTATTATGTATATTCTGAAATGATATTATTTTGTGTGTGTGGGTGCATATATATATATATATATATATATACATATTTAGTTTCTAAATTTAAATTAAAACTTACTATACCATTTTTAAATATTTTTAAATATAGTGAACTATTTTTTAATTTAATAATTTAATAGTTTATTTAAATTTAAATACAATATATAAAAAATAATTGCTACATTTATTTTTTTATTAATTTTTTAGAACATCTTACATATATTAATTATCGTACCAAAACCTACATATGTCAACATTACAATATTTAGGTAGAAAATATTTTAGTTAATTTATTTAATATTAAAAAGTTCAAATAATGTCTAACATGTTTTAAATTAATAGATAAGTCTATTCTGTGTAGAGTAACATTAAGGTCCTATCACTTTAAAATCTATCATATATATTTTATTTTTACTTCAATCTTATTAAAGTAGTGTTGTTATTACAGTAGTGTTGTTGCTCTTACATAACTTCTTTTGTTTCATATTTTTATTTAAGATTTTTTTTTGGAATTTTTATAATATCCTAAATTAAATTCTTATATGCCTTTAAAAACAATTGAGATTGTTCTAGTGAATTCTCTAAGTAGTTCTTGACCCCCTTAAATTGAATCCACCATTACTTAAAGGTTTAGTAGCCACATTCCTATATTGGGCCAAAAAGTCACTTTAATTGGATAATTATTAAATCCGAAAAATTTTATAGAGATATTTTCACCTTTTATTTTAAAAATTCTTCGAAATTAAATTTAATTATTTAAAAAATTTTAAAGCCAAATTATGATTAATAATAATAATTATTATTATTAGTATGTAGAAAATATTATTAAGTTTATAAAGACCATCAAAATATAAATAATTTCTATCTAGAATATATTCGTATCATTTCTTTTTGGAATCACAGTTCTATATCTAATACCAAATATAATAAAACTTCAAATTTTAGAAAAAATACAAGTAAATAATATTTTTATTTTGTGTAATTTAACTTCATTTATAATTTGGTTGGTAATTCTTAATCTCCATCTTAAAAATTTAATTAAATTTAATCTTTTAATATGAGTCGTATTACCCTTTGATAATTTAAAATTTTTTCAGTTCACAAATTTAAGAATAATATAAAAGGTGAAAAATATTTAATTTAAAAATCTGTTTTTTTGTGTATTTTTTTCTTCTTCATCATCTTTTACATACCAAAATGCTACAAATCTTGTGTTACTTTTTATAATTTGATTTTTGTTTTAGTGTTGTAAGTTTATAAGATATATATATATATATATATATATATATGCATTATGAACCTTTTTTTTCTAATGTAATAGCAAATATACGAGAGTTTTATTTTATACAATTTGTTTTCAATAATTTTTAGTATTTAAAATATTGATAATAATTTATATTAATTTACCAAAAGTTTATTTTTTGAAAATTTATATACTTTTGAAGTACATGGTTATCAAAAATTATTTTTAATTAAAATTATTGGTCCTAAATATTATACTATTTTTGTTTATTTTTAAATATCAACAATATTTGAACACAAGGACTTTAGACTCATGATTAATAGCTATAAAATTTTAGTTGACAAAGATTTTAAATCTATTATTCATTGGACTGGTTCATTCATATATGAATATATATGTATATATATATATATATATATATATATAGAAAAAAACATATTTATTGAATGAGTAGTATTTAATGTATAATACTTTAAGTCAAAAGAAGCAATAAGGCCGAATACTACACCAATATTCTCAAGCATACAATCAAATTAAAAATAAAATAAAATTTAATATATTATATTAATATACATAAATATTTATTATAAATTATTTGACATGGAGAAATTTATTTAAAATTCTTAATACACTATTAAAAAAAAATGTTGTAATTTAATATAGATATATATATATATATATATATATATAGAGAGAGAGAGAGAGAGAGAGAGAGAGAGAGAGAGAGAGAGAAAAAAGGAGAGATAAATGTTAAAATGACCCACCCTTATTGTGGAGAAGAAGAGAGAATGAGAGAAATTGGGATGAGAGCTAGGAACATAAGAAGGGGAATGATAGAGGTTGGAATGAAGAAGCCTAGAAATGAAGGAGGTGGAGATGAGAGCCATGATTGTAATGATAGTTTTTGGAGATGATGGTTATGATAGGATGGGTCAATTTAGTAAATGGGTGGTCATTTTAACATTTCTTTGCATATATATATATATATATATATTCAATAGAATAGTTCATGTTTACATTCTAATCAAATCTAGGATAATGACAAAAATACTCTACTTGGCAACCAATTCATAAAAATATGTTTTCGTCAATTGATGATTTTTTCACATCCAAGTTGTATACACATGACTACATTAAGAAGAGAAACCTACATATGTACATTAAGAAAAGAAACATACAATAACAAACATTGAAATGTTTACAAACAGTTAATGAAGAGTAAATCATGGCTATTATGATGGCTATTTTGTAGAGAATAGTATAATAGAAAATCAACATCAAACATGTTCCAACCACAAATCACTTCTATGAAAAAATTTCTTACATGATACTAAATTTAAACCAGGTATTTATTTATTTATTTATTTATTTATATTATGAATTTAGAATTCATTAAAATATATGCAAATCCAAGAAATAAAATGTTAAACATTACATATAACTGTTAAATTTTTCAATAAAAAAGATGAGTTCATTGCAAATTACTAAAGATATATATATATATATATATATATATAGTAAAAGAACCGTCATAAATGAAGCATAACCACTACCAAATTAGTATTCCGAGTGACACGCATGAACACCACTGAATGTCTAATGCACATACATGCAATTTATTTTTCAAAGAAATCATTACAAACTCCATGTATATAGTGACGATGTGGAGTTATTTATTTATTTTCCTAAATTTGATGATCTTTAACAACTAGCAGTTCATTTACCTATACGCGTATGCCACGGTCATGCGTCCAAACGCTGGCTACAAGGATGTCTTTCCATTAAATAATCCGTGGTTCCCAGCCCAACACGAAAATAGCTGAACTGAATTGAAAACACGGGATTCAGAGACACCGTGACACACACAGCACAGCACCTCACCCACCCTTTTCGAACACACGGAAATCCAAAAAGGAAACAATAAATAATAAATTTATTATTATTATGGCAGCAGGAGTGGCTTGGAACAGAAGGATGGCAGACATCCCCCTCCAACTCCACTTAACGGCTCTGTGTTAATTTGAAGACGGGCAGTCACGCTGACGTCACCACCACTTCAAACGGCCTTCTGTGCCTTTTCCTAGTTGCCGTTCGCCCTCTTCGAATTCGTCCAAATCCGAGCTAGAGGCCCCTCATTCTACGGGTCCCGTGTCCATGTAAGCACACCCAGGAATTGATCCAATGAGAGAGCTCGGAAATGCCAGGTCAGAGGGCGGGGCATAGAGCCGTAGGACGCGGACAGCGACCGAGCGTGTTGGCGGAGGAGCAAGAGGTTCGCATTTGGATTGATACAGTGCCGAAGGCCTTCACTCCCTCCAGGCAATCCCAATCTAAACGTTCGCTTCACGGCTTTAATTTGTGCCGCACTCCCTTCCTCGCACTGTGCAGCCTTGAGCCTCTTTCTCGCCCATTCCTTCTCTCCATTGAGGTGTGACCTGCTGGATTGCGCTCTTTGGACTCTGCTTTAGGCTTCTGTTTTCGGCGCGGAGTCGACTCGACTTCGAAGATAGGCGGCGGAGGAGGAGTTTTTATGTGGAGTGAATTGGTGTCTGTTCCGGCTCCCAGATCCATTGGCAAGTTTCTGAACCGCGCATTTGAAGATTTACTGCCTTTTTGTAGAGGTTCTTGTAGTGGAAGAAGCTCTGTTTCTGGGCAGGGCGGTGGAGTGGTGTGTTCTTTGGTTCGAAGACTGCGGTTCTTCACTACATTATTGAGTGAGTGGACTGTGTGTCGATGCTGGGTATTTTGAATGTAGTATACCTGAGTTAGCTCTGAGTGGCGGTACTGAATGCAGACTTGATCCTGAAGTACTTTTGATTTTTCCTCTGATCTGTGATCCGATACGTCTTTTTTCCCTTAACACTCGGACTCTCACAGCAATTAGTTTACTGATGCCAATCATGATGGTCCAAGATGGAATATCATTATCCAAATTCTCACTCAATCGTGACTCGTCAGATTGCTACCAAGGAAGAAGAAATGGGTCAGCAACCTGTTGTCCAACAGGCGGATACCACTTGTGGATCGCTGCTTCGTGAACTCCAGGTCTGCTACTGTTCCCGCGTTGTGATTTTGATGAGTTTGGAAATTCTTGGTGGCTGATCAACGGTAATCGATTCGTTATTAATCGTGTAGAAAATGTCTGGAACTTTGTGTGCAGCACATCTGGGATGAGGTAGGGGAAAGCGACTCCGACAGAGATAAAATGCTCTTGCAGCTGGAACAGGAATGCCTGGAGGTGTACAGGCGCAAAGTGGATAATGCCAGCCAAAATCGCGCACGTCTGCACGAATCCCTTGCCAATGCCGAAGTAGAATTCGCTGCATTATTCTCCGCTCTCGGGGAGCCCACACTCAGTCAGCGAGTAAGTACGGTTACACATTCGTGTAATTCAGCTCGTAATTTTCTTAATGATCCCTAGTTAATGACGTATTAATTTTTCCCACATGATCACCAGGAGAGGCGTTCTGGAACTCTTAAAGAGCAAGTTGATGCAATCAAACCCCACCTAGACGAATTACGCAGGAGGAAGGACGAACGTGCGAGACAATTTCTTCAAGTGAAGTCGCAGATTGTTAGTATTTGTACCGAAATTGCAGGATCGGATTATGGACATATGTTCTCCAATGAAGAGCCAGATCTTTCTCTCAGAAGACTTGAGGAATACCAGGCACAGTTAGTAACTTTTCAGAAAGGGAAGGTAAACCAAAAGTCACTGTAGGCTTGTCCATATATTTCTAAACGTCCTAAGGTGAAGTTTCACGCAGGATGATGGAGACTGTTTTTGATGGGTTTTGATCCATCATTCTGTGGATTCTGCACCAAGTCCAAAACTCATTCCATGAATTGACTGCCCAACAGAGTGAAAGGGTGCATAAGGTTCTGGAGTACGTGAACTTGATCCATCAGTATTCCGTCGTTATGGGGATGGACTTCTTTCAACTTATTTCCGAGGTTCACCCCAGTCTCGACGACACGAAGGGGCTTCCTAAAAGTATTAGCAACGATACTCTAGACCTTCTTGTGAAGACTATACAATCCCTGGAAGATGAAAAGAAACGACGGGCTAGAAAGGTATCGGACCCGCTCTTCGTCTATCATCTAGCAAATTCCTGTCAGATTGTCATGTGTGACAGTGCAATTCACCTAGTTAAACCGTCGAGGAGCCGCTTGCGCCAGTTTGTCCCGTAGTTGTGAGAACGTCTTACAATGAGTTGGCTTCTGTCCATCTGACATTCTGTCGTCTGTCTCCGCAGCTTAAAGACCTCGGTGTGATAATGCTAGATTTGTGGAAATTAATGGAAATTCCATCCCGTGAGCAAGTAGCATTTGAAAATGCCGTTCGCAATATCGAAGCTGATGAAGACGACATTACCACTCCCGGTTGTCTTTCAATGGAATTTCTCGGACAGGTCAGTTTAGGGGATTTTGCTTAATTCCAGCATCCATGAAATTATCGAAGTTGACGTTGATGTTCTAGCATTGGTGAAAGCTCTGATATCCGTAATCGGGGACTTCATGTGCCAGGCGGAGGTTGAGGTTGACAGGTTGCAGCTTCTGAAGATCAGCAAGATGAAAGAGATTGTTCTGAAGAAGCGTTTGGAACTGGAAGAAGTGTGTCGCAATGCTCATTTGGAGCCTGATGTGAATACGTCCGAAGACAGGCTTGTAGCTTTGATTGAATCAGGCATGGTTGATGCTGCAGATCTTCTTACTAGCCTCGAGGCTGAGATCAGCCGTGCCAAGGAAGAAGTGGCCAGCAGGAAAGACATCATGTCGCTTATGGAGAAATGGATGTCAGCTTGTGAGGAGGAAGCATGGCTCGAAGATTACAACAAGGTAAGACGTTCATACAGTTGTGAGAGTACCATTACTGTAACTTTATTGAAACCTCCTAATTGTCATACGATGTAGGTTGACTGGGTTCTATGTGCAGGATGAGAACCGGTTTGCCAGTAAAGGTGCACATCTGAACTTGAAACGAGCAGAGAAGGCTCGCGCAGCGATTGCCAAACTTCCAGGTAGAGCACTCGTCTGAATACCTGGGCTCTCCACGCACAGTACCTCTAGGTTCGCTGTGCTTTGATATTTTGAAAAGTTTAACCGCAAGCTGATTGGTGTACTGATGTAATGCTTGGTAACAGCCTTGGTGGATACTCTAACACAAAGGACCAGAGTTTGGGAAGAAGAAAGGAATGTTCCTTTCATGTTTGATGGGGTGAGTCCTTTGTGCACCTCGTTTTTGTTCCGATGCTCATTTTTAGTACGGACTTCAGTCGGATTTAGTTCCGAAGTTTCCTAAGCGTGGCTCGATCACCATGGTGGCAGGTGCGGCTGCTTGCGATGCTGAGCGAGTATAATCATCTCAGAGAAGAGAAAGAAGAGGAGAAACGACGGCTGAGGGTATGGAAATCTGTTACCCACCTAAGATAACTTAAGCCTTGTTAAATCTGACTTCGTAGCTATACAGTACCCTGCCCTTTTATAGCATTTGTTTTTAGCTTGCAGTTTTCGAAGCCAGCACATCTCTAAAACGGAAGATTTTAATGCCCACGCAGGACCAGAGAAAACTTCACGAACAGTTATTGAATGAAAAGGAGAGTTTGTTCGGTTCCAAGCCGAGTCCTAGCAAAAATGCCCTTAACCTTAGAAGAGCTGGAGTTGGATCAAGAGCCAGCAGTATCGGTGGGGGCCAGCAAACTGTACCAAACAGACGGCTATCGCTTGGCAATGCAATAATGCATCCAGGTACACCAGAATCTACTCGAATTGGAGGATGTACAAGGCAGGGATTCTCAGGTAACAAAGAGGTTAAGCCATCGCGTTCGAGACCAGCTGCTCCGTCCAACTACGTCGCAATCCAAAAGGACGATAATACCTCTGCAGGTGGGTCTACTCCCGCTTCTTATCAGTTCGAATAGAATAGATAATCTTAAAGCCGTTGCCACGATATTAGTGGATAGCTGCAAAAATGTGCCAAAAATAGCGGACCAAGTGAAAAGTGGCTCAGGAGGATTAGCGATGCGTGTCCTATCATCAGTCTAGCCCAGAATTTCCACTCTTCCCTCAATGACATCTTGCTATTCCACTCTGTTGCACTTCGTATTACGTAGTCACTATGTGAAGTTTCGCATTAGGTGGCAAGCATGGAGTGTCTGCTCGTAGTCAGCCCCAGGCCCAAGATACCGTAGCTCGTCAACCGCTGGGTCCTGTTCCTCCTACGGCAGCATTACAGCAACTACATGTCGACGATGCTGGCAACCGGGCGGCTTCGGTGGCAAACAAAACAGGTGTCTCGTCTGCTGCCCACCTAAAGAGTCCCCTGAAGGTCACCCTAATAAGTCCTCATGTTGGAGATGTTGAGAACACTATCCCCCGTGTGCAGCCGGCTCTTGAATTCTCGTTTGAGGAACGCAGAGTCAGCAACGCTTCCTGCGGTGATTTGCAGAATGGATTTTGGAAAAGCATGAACAGCTGAGACCCGCGTGAACTACTTTTTGTCTCATTGTACTTTAGCCGTTCATATTAATACGTTCGTTGGGCCATGTATGCCAGTCTCCTCAACTGGGTGCAGTTAGAGAGGTTGCCGTCCTGGAATAACAATATGCCTAGAATGCAATGTTGCGTGAGCCAGCAGGGAGACCGAGTATCAGCCTTTTGAGAAATTAGATCTGCGGGCATTTCTTATTAGTGCCGCGCCAATCGCACGTTGGCTACGCATTGAAGAATGTTGCTGTTGTACACATACATTTAAGAGCTAAACTATTACACTAAATCCAAGTTTTCTACCATACGAATAAGTGTGCCAATTTTCATTATACTGTCAATGAAGCTGTTGCGTCATGTTATTCTCCACAACTTGTGAACTAGATCAATACTTTCACTGTGCGCATTACTTCCAAAACCCATAGGCATATTTGTGCAGTTCTAAATTATCTTTATTAACTATGTTAACAAGTAGTACCTTTCTCATTTTGGAACAATTTCATCATCTTCTTGCACATACATATAGATCCATCCAGTGTTATGTGTGTAATTAGCCTGTTGGAAGCAAGCGGTCAAGGAGTGAAGTGTAACTGAGAAGACTTCAAGCAAATTTGTGAGGGAATTCTTGTAGTTATCCTTTTCCTTGCTAACGGTTTATATCTCAAATTAAAACTTATAAATTGTGCAGAAACAATAAATGTTTGAGGCTTGAATGAGATGTGAAAATTATAGCTTATGATATCAGATATTTGTTTATGTCAATAATGCTATCAAAATCATTAAATAATTCTTTTAATATTGTATCTTTTAAGTTGTTTGAGATGAGACTTAAATATTTTTCATAGCAAATCTACTAACAAGATAATCGAGATTGAACAAAATGGAAGAAACCAATTAGCTAATTATTACAATTACGATTTGTAATTTTTGAAATAATTAAAATTAAAAAAATAAAAAGACAAAAAAAAAAGTATAAATAATTGTCACGAACATATATTTACAGTAATTGTCATCTAAGTGATATGAATAGGTAGAAGTAGGTAAAAGTAGATTAATTTCATAATATCTTTTAGAAAAGCTTCCTAGAAGCTTCATAGATGTTGCTTTGACTTTACATGTGTTTATATTTGATTGGTAGGTTAGAAACTTGATCAACAAGTTAACCATGTGCCACACATGTTGGTAGCTTGTAGAACAAGCTAACTATGTGGCGTCCACATAGAAAACTTGCTTTACAAGTTAAGATATATGTTGTGCAAAGTCAACACATTTTTGGAGGTCCTATAGAATGTCATCACTTAGCTCCTATGTAGATAGTATATATGGAGGTAAGAGTGAAGTCTTCTTCACTCTTGTCAACTCCTTTCTTGCTTCTAATCTAGTTTCAAGGATCTCTAGTTTTCTTGTCGTTTGGCAATAGCTATTCCAGTTTCTTTTTTATTATACATACTTAGTTATTTCTATTTTGTCATCTTTCTTTGAGAAAAGTCTCACTTATTTATTTATTTTTATCAAATTTTTACCCTTAAGAGGTGGTTTGTTTTGAATAAAAAGTTTTATTAAGGAGTTATATAAAATTGGTTTAAGACCTTTTAAAGTGGATGGTAAGGAAAATCTAATATATATATTTTAAAAGATGAATAATTTTTATAATTTTGTAAAAAAAAAAGAAAGATTATTAATTACTTATTATTATTATTATATATATATGTATATATATATAGAAGTTATTAAAAAAAGAATAAAAAAAAGATATAGATTTTAAATATTTTTAATATTTATCATAATCCATAAATCTTATTATCTCATTCTTTCAATAAACACTGATATCAATTTGAATCATTTAGTAGGATACTAACACGGACATTATCTAATCAAGCAGAAGAAAAAGAAAGTTTTATATTAGTCTAGTTTCCTATCAGTAGTTGAAATTGTTTTGAATTCATTATTATTTTAAATTTTATTTATTAACTAATTTGATGGTGTGTTATTTTCAAAGACAAGAATTTGATAAAAAAAATAAAAATAAGTGAGACTTTTTTCAAAGGAAGATGACAAAATAGAAATAACTAAGTATGTATATTAAGAAAGAAACTGGAATGGCTATTGCCAAACGACAAGAAAACTAGAGATCCTTGAAATTAGACTAGAAGTAAGAAAAGAGTTGACAAGAGTGAAGAAGACTTCACTCTTGCCTCTATATATACAATCTACATAGGAGCTACGTGGCAACATTCTATAGGACTTCCAAAAACGTGTTGACTTTGTACAAGACGTATATTAACTTGCAAGGCAAGTTTTCAATGTGGGTGCCATTTAGTTAGCTTGTTCCACAAGCTACCAACATGTGTGGCATGTGGTTTACTTGTTGACCAAGTTTCTAACATATCAATGAAGTATAAATACATGTAAAGTCAAAGCAACATCTATGAAGCTTCTACAAAGCTTTTCTAGAAGATATTATGAAATTAATTTACTTTTACTTATTTCTACCTATTCATATCACTTAGATAATAATTACAGTAAATATATGTCCGTGACATTACCTCTCTTTTTAGCAACGAGTTCCACGAGGCGCGGTAATTACATGTCGAGGAAGTCTAAGATGCAGCAAATTATATTTGCCATATACTTTGATCTTTCTTCTCTTCGAAGATGATTGATAGGGCCTCTCAACCATCGATAGTGTCTCATACCATGGCAGGAAGACCACCTAGTTATTTAATCATTGTTGAAGCCTTCATAACTTCCTTCAAATAAAAAATTTAGAACACCCTCAAGAATTGTTTCTACCTCTAGTAAAATCACCAAGCATCAAGAGTCCCTTCCAAGGTCGTGAAACCAAACGCGTCATATTTTACCATCTATTCCAGCAAAAATATGTCATTCTTGAGTATCTTCATCTCGATTGCATCATCTTAAAGGTTGTGACAATCGTAATGTCTCATCAGATAGATTAGCAAACAAAGGCTCTTAGGTTGAATCCGCTGGTTGTTGGTTTTCCATCTTCTCATAGTCACAACTACAAAGAAAATACAAATAAGGATTAAAAGTAGAATGTTATCTTGCTTTGATCTTGTTTCTTTTATAAGGAAGGTTTTCATCTTGATTTTGATGGATGTCATCGATGAAAAGCTTCCACCCTTTTTTTTATATTTGCAAGATTCTTTACTAGCTCTCATGTGCATTCACTAATATCATATCCATATCAATGGACAAGATATTCTAATTTATTTCAGCACTGCCTTGAATTTAGAACTTCTTCCACTTTGAACTCTTCATTATTGTTCAATCCTATAGGAAGAGGTAGAACTTGTCTTCTTCTTGGTATGTCCATTGTCTTGTATAATTCAAGAAGAGATACATGGAATATTGGATGGATTTTCATTGACTACGGTGGGTATAAAAAATATGCAACTAGATTAATTTGTGCAGAAATAGAAAATGGTCTAAGCCTTTGATAGTCCAACTTGTCACAAGGACGAGTGGTCTTGATATTGCAATGAAGTAATCATATCTTGTCACCTATGTGGAATGGTGGTTGTTTCTTTTGATAGACATTTGCATTGATTTTTTGTTGTTCTTGAGCTTCTTTTAAGTGCGCCTTCATTGTTACATGTAGCTTTGACAAATGATTTGCCAAATCTTTTACCATAGAACTATCAGCTTTTGAAAAATTAAAAGTATCAAGTCGTGGATGATAATCATAATTGGCAAAGAAAGGTGTTTGTTTTGTAGAAGAATGTCATATTTTATAATAAGCAAACTCTGCCAATGGCAAAAAAGTTATCCAATCATATTGTTGGTAGTTGATGGTACATCTTAAATGTTGCACAAAAACTTCATTAACACGCTCCATTTGTTTATCAGTTTGAGGATGAAATATCGAAGATAGTTTTATATCTACTTTTAGAATCTTAAAAAGAGTCCGCCAAAATCTTGATACAAATTGAGTTCCCCTATCTGATATAATATCCTTGGTTAATCCATGATAGCAATAGATATTGTCAAGAAAGAACTTAGTTATTTTGTCATGTGTGATAGATTTTGTATATGGTAAAAAATTTGCCATCTTAGTAAAATGATCTACTATCACGAATATAGAGTCATAAGAACTTGAGATTGGAAGATCCATTGTCGGGGTAGAGAGAGTTTGCCTCAAGAAAACGCTAGGCTTCTGGCTATCACTAATTATTCAATCAAGCTTGAAAATAAGGGAAGTCCTAATTTTAAATATAAATTTTTCTTTTTTGAGCAATTACACCAAATATACAAGCCTCAAGTAACCAACAACACCCAAAATATGATAAAATCCTCTAAAACCTAGTATATTCTTATATGGAGATTTTTTTGAACTTCAACACCTCATATCTCCTAATCCGACCGTCCAAACAAACTAAAATTTTATATGGGATACTAATGTATTCTTATTAACTTTTATAAGAATTTTTAATTGCAAATTCATTGCGGATCTTGAGATATCTTGAAAAACCTAAGAGTTGCTTCAAACCCTTGTCTTTATATACCCACGTGCAATTTTCTTCATATTTCACAAAATATAAGTTCAAATGCCACAAAATTTGCATGTATAGCTTCTTCACACAAAATTTTACATTTTCCAAAAAGTTTGAGCCAAAAATTCATCCGAAAACTCAAGTTATGGCTCCAACCATTACTACAAACAAAACCGCTTACTTACTACTTTTGATTTGGAAGCGCCGCCTTCAACTCCTTACAACTCCTTTATATGAACTCCAAAAGCAATAATTCTTCCATAAAAGATGTAGGCCTTGAAATCGCCGTTCCAGTCGCACCTTCGGATCTTGAAAAGCTGCTGTAAAACTCCTTGTATCCTCAAAAGAGTAACAATATGTCTTAAATTAATACCTTAACTTCAAACGGCTATAACTTCTTCATCCTAACTCCAAATCCTCTAATTTTTGTACAAAAATTGTACTCCAAATCCTAAACTTTACAACCCTAGCTTTTAATCTCCAAATGCCTTCTTTAAAGTCGCCGAAACTCTTGTTATGGTCGTAGGCAGCCTCTTTGAAGCCCATTGGGCATGGCCTTCGACCAATAGGGATGAAGTTTTCCATTCTTTGCCTTCATCCGACCATGCCTTGCTTTCATTCTTCTCAATTAGCCTCCTATTAGTTTAGATTTTCATCCTTAGGCTTCCACCTTCTCCCAAGGCTTTATACTAAACTTTTAGGTCTTATATTTTTTTTTATTTTAATGTCAAAATCAAAACAAGTAAAGAAACAAAGTAAAATTTCTTATACCAACTCCTTTTAATTTAATCTACTAGCCACTTTAACACACATCT